CTCTAATTCCCATAAAAGGCGGCGGTTAATTATTTTTTCGGTCACTTTGCAGAGAACTGACGTAAGAGAGATGGGCCTATAATTTTGTACGAGTTTTGGATCTTTATTGGACTTCAGTATAGGGATTACTGTTGCCGATGACCAACTTTTAGGAAAGTCTCTATTTATCCACATATTGTTGAGGAGCGTCAACAACAGGTCAGTTACTCTTGTTGGTAAGCGCTTTATAAATTCAATGTGAATCTGATCTGGACCTGGTGATTTGGAACGAGATGAACTAATACTTTGGTTTAGTTCATCTAATGTAAAGGGTAAATTGTAGGGTTCATTATCAAGGGTAAGATAAGGAGGGAACTGAAGTTCATGAAGTGCCGAAGGATTTTTTGAAATACTAGATAAGTGCTGCCCAAAGGCATTAGCTATTTCCTTAGGCTCGGTAAGAATTTTTCCATTGTAAGCTATCGATCGCGGAATATTGTTAATTTGTCTGCCTTTTATGGCTTTTATTTTATTCCATACTATTTTCGTTGAAATTCCGGTTGAGATGGAAGATATAAATTTTGTCCAGCAATTTCTTTTTGCCTGGTTGATAATCCACCGCGCTTCTGCTCTGGCTTTATGGTAATTGATATGATTACTTAATGATGGACGTGTTTTTAAAATTTTTAAAGCTCTATGCCGTTTCGTCAAAGCAGCACGACATGCGGGTGTCCACCAAGGAACCGTTCTTAAATATTTAGATGGTTTGGTTTTAGGGACCGAGAGGGTAGCAATTTGAACAATTACTGAGGCAAACCTTTCAAGATTTTCTCCGTGAGATGAGGAAATTTCAAAATGTCTAAAGTTATCGCTACAAGCTTTTGTAAAATTCTCCCAATTGGCTTTGTCTATCCTCCATTTCCCGATAGACTGTGGAAGAAACGGGTCAATTTGCAGTGAAAGCAAAAGAGGTAGGTGATCACTACCTGCAAGATCACAATGGAAGTAAGACTGGGGAATTATAGGAAATGAGCGAGAGGCTAAGCAGAGGTCAATAGAAGTCCAGGTTTGGTGGGCTCGGCTATAGAAAGACTGCTCACAGGGGCTGCAGAGTATGAGCGAAAATTCATCTATAAGAGAGTCTATTATTTTACCCCTTGCATCAGTTCGATGATTGATGCCCCAAGTCGGACTGTGAGCGTTCAGATCTCCCATTAAAAGGAATGGAAGAGGAAGTTCGAGTAAAAGATCTCGAAAATCATTATATGTGATATTTTCTGAGGGATGTAGATAAATAGAACATATCGTAAACTGAACTGGAAGATGAACGACAACGGCTACTGCTTCCAATTTGGAGGATAAATTAATAGCAGTATAACTGATGCCTTTCTTAATGGCAAGGGAAACTCCTCCGCTAGCATGAGGAGTACGACGGACTGTTTTGTAAATAGAATTATATAAAGATTTTAAAATAGTTTGGTTTTCTTTTAGATGGGTCTCTTGAAGAGATAAAAGTGAGGGGTTATAATTAGAAATCAACAACTGTAGGTCATTATAGTGACGATATACACCATCACAGTTCCAATTTAAAATAATCATATGATTTAATGTTATAAGTTATAATCTATAACTAATCTATCTATAATTAAAGTTATAATCTATCTAGTTGTAATAACTAGAAAAGTTAAATGTGAGTGTTTTCACTAACAGAAGTGTTTCTAAGGTAATTTTTCAAGCTGTTTATGACTTTAGTAAATCTGCTCTTTAAGCTTTTTGTTGGAAGAGCTGAGTATAAATCTGAAAACATACTAATGATGGAATCGAGGTCATTGGTTAAGTCTAGTGCTGCGATACCGGATCTTTTGTGATTACAATGGTTTCTAAAAATGTGTGTAATTGAATGAAGGAAAGAGGATAGTTTTTGTCAGGTGATTCTACAAGTTTCTTCAAAGGTAGTAATGAATCGGTCAGAGTTTTAGTTTCCGTGGTAATTTGGATGTTAGAGGTATTTCTACTATCGGTTATGTTTTGTAGGCCTTCATTTATCTGCAAGTTACCTTTTTTATCTTGTTCCGGTTCGTTGGGATCATGGTGACTGCTAGAAGGAAGACTTGTTGTTGAGGTAATTGGATTCGTTGATGTATTGTTTTTATTACTTAACTTCTCCTCTAAAACTTCGATTTTCTCAACTAAACCTTCAATAATTGAAGAAAGTTTCCCTATTTGTTGGATTATTTCGATACTAGGTGCTGGAGTGGACACAATCTTAGAAAAGCTGCCCAGAGGAAGAACTGTAGGTGTTTTATTTTCAACTATTCTTTTGGCCACCGGATAGGGTACTCTATCGGTTACCCTTACCTTTTGAATTTCCTTTTCTTTCAGAAATGCAGGACAGTTACGAGACCACGCAGGATGTTGATCAGAACAGTTAACACATTTCAGTGGTTGGCTGCACTGATCTTCGTGTTGAGTAAGCCCACATTTGCCACAGACTTTACGTTGGCATTTCGCCGATACGTGGTTGAATGAGAAGCAATTAAAACATCTTATAGGATTTGGGATATAGGGTCTTACTTTTATGTTTATAAAATTAAGTTTAAGATGATCCGGTAACACGGGCTTCTCGAAAGTTAGGATAATCGATGATGTTGGTACCTTCGTTTCTCCTGACCTTCTAAAAATTCTTTTCACTTCCACGACTCCTTCGTCACGTAGCTCTTCTTTAAGTTCTTGTTCTGAACAGATATTGAACTCAGGACAGGTTATTATTCCTTTTGTGTAATTCAAAGAAGGGTGGAGAGTGAAATTCAAGGCTGAGTTTTCGTATTTCTTGATATTTTGTAGATTAAAAAAATCCTTTTCATTGACCACTTCTAGTAGTACTTTGCCACTTCTTAAAAACTTCACTTTTGTTTGCGGAGCAAAACTTTGAATAAACTTACAAACTTTGAATGGGCTTGTGTTTAGGAAAGTCTTATCTTCATCTGCAAAAGATACTTCGATATATTTTCTTACCCATGATGTTCCTGGCCGTCTTGAGCACATGGAGAAGATATCGGGAGGCTTCGGTTCCTTAGTCCCTGACATTTCACTTTCCAACTATGGTTTTGGAGAGATGGTAGTTTTTTTGGGAATAAGTTTCCAAAATTATAGTTTATGCCTTTCTGTACTTTCGCGTATACGATCTCACTTCCAAAAGATGTTTGTGCTTGAAATATTTTAATTCAAATATCTTTGTATTGTTAAATAAGGTCAATATTCACAAAAAAAAAATACTTAAAAGTTAACCTACATAAAAAATCCACTGTGACTTTTTTTAATAAATCGACAATATATGCAATTTAACTCATGGAGTTCATCCCTGATCACAGGCGAATCTACAGGAGAGGGGCTTTCGGGGTGAAGTCCCCCCCCCTCCCAAAAAAAATTGTAAAATATAACCATGTTTATTAAACCAAAATATTAAAAAATATCTCTTAAAGTATTCTCATTCGTGTAATTAAATTTAATAGGACTTCATTCAAGACCCATTTAAACAGCATTTCATTTAGCTAGTTACTTTCTTTCTTTTTTTTTTTTTTTTGTCGCTATACATATTTGAAAAAAAATCTTTCGGGCTGAAGCCCCCTGGATCCGCAAGTGTCCCTGATAATAGAAAATTCGCATATTCCTGAGATCACAGAATTTTGGTGTTTAGGGGTGTTGATAAATGAAAAAGGTAACCTCCATATATTTATAAAGATGGAAAATATTCCAAGGAAGATTATTAGGAATCAATTCTAATAAAATAAGACTATTTATTTCGAAATGTGAAACAGTAATTTACCATTAATTTCAATAATGATTATGGTTGAATTTCGACCAATGGGCGAACACTAGTTTATATAATAGTACAATTAAAAAATATAGAATTTAAAAAAATACATGGGATAGGAGACGACAGATGTTCAACAATATTTTTCCCATACAGGCCAGAGCATAGAAGAGAGAATTTCTGGGAGAGGAATGTTTCTAAGGGGACTAAAGTTCTAGATATTAGAATAAAATTATTGTACTAAGCCGAAATAATAAACAACTTTAAATATTAAAATCAGCACATAATGACATATGCCTAAGAAACTTAACAAGAATGATTTACACTTAAAGATTTCAAAAAATATACTGCCATCTTCAAAGAGCCAGTCCAGGAAACTGTGTATCACATGCAAATAACCAAAACAGATGTGAGAATTCAGCATGCCAAGAATCGATTCAAGTATCTGTCACATGTATTTGTTTCCACTTGAATTGTAAGATAATTAGAACACAAATTCAAAGATAAATGTGACCTTCAAAAATATTGGGTGGTTTGGCGTGACCTCCACTCCAACATGTAAAAATAATGAGGTTATATAGGCCAAGTAGCCCAATATTTTTTCGATTTTGTGATAAAACTATCTTACCATTCAAGTGGAAGCAAATAGGTATTTATGAGTTTTTAGTATATAATTAAAATTAATTAATTAATTAAATGAGAAAACGACCCAATTCTCATAATTTTCATAGATAAAAAAATTGAAGATATTTTCTTAACATCATGTATACAACAAACATATTAGATAAATAGAATCCATCGCGAGATCTCGCACAGAAAAACTAATTATAGTCATACTTTTCTACAAAAATAATATTAGACACAGTTAAAAACAAATTTATTTCTGTAAATGTAGAATACATATTTAATAATTTAAGAATAATACAACATAAATTGTAACTATGTGAACAAAGAAACAAAATAATTGATTTTGTATTTATTTATAAAAAACGAGCACATAAAAATAATAAAAATAACCGATCGTTTTTCTAATTTTCTAAAAACCGTTTTGATATACAATCCATTCTTTATACAAAAATATATTTATTATTACCTTTTTGTTTGAATTGATAATTAAATATAATTTAACAATAAACAATTTTTAACTCTAAAATTAGAGTTTATAAGTTTTAACATTGCCTAGATTATGAATGTTCATGACATTTAGTTACTGCTGCACTGCGGCGTTGGCAGCAATACTGGGATTGTTAATAACTTCTCCCAGGGACTCGAGGAGTTCCTTCCTGTAGTCGTCAAAGTCACCATCGACTTCATTGATCGTCTGATCTTCTATCACCCAAAGGTTACATTCTGTGTCTCTGATGAGGCGCTCATCGTGAGAAACAATAATCACACCTGAAAAATTTCCATAACGAAATGAAAAATAATGTCTGCTAATGATGGAGAAATAGTTACTCTAGACAATATGGCTGGAAACTTATTCAGGGATTATTTATTGCTGATCTTTTATTAATGTTATAAAAAATGTTTCTAACTTAGGAACACGTATTAAAAGGGATAGGGTTAACAAACATCAATTTAAGCAAAAATGGCCAAAAAAAAAACCAATGTTTAAATTAAAGAAATAAACCTTTTGCTCTATTCAATTTGTACAGGAACTAATAATTTGATTTGATTAGAAAACTTTACATAAGTAATAACAAATAGTACAAAGAGTTATGTAAATTAGAAAATCGAGTGTTTGATATTGATATTGTTAACAAGTTTCAGTCTGTAAAGGATTAAAAAGAATTCTAGGATCTAATTAATGTAATAAAAACGAAGAAGTTTGTTGGAAGTACGGATATTAAAAGCAAACAGTGGTGGTTTATTTTAGTAGCTTATTAAATCCATCAGTTTTAGCAACACTGTTCCTATATGCCCCACCACGTAATGTTAATATGACTCTAGATAGTGAATTTGAATTTATAGAGTTAAAGAAAGTTGTTGTTAAAGCAAAAAATGGGAAAGCCACAGGATACGATAGAGTCTCAGATGAATTTTTTAAAGGTTGCCCAAATGAATTCCTCCTATATCTTCTAAAATTGTTAATGCGATATACAAAAACTCAAATATTCCAAACAATTTTGAACAGACTATAATTTTTCCACTTTCTAAAAAAGATGCCTTAGATGTTGTCCATAATTACAGGGAAATATCTTTTTCGGATTGTATATCTAAACTATTTACTGGTTTGTTGATCAAAAAGCTTTTTTTTATTAATATTATAATAAGGTAATACAGTAATAAGTAAAACCTACCTCCTTTAAATTCAACGATAGCTTCGGCTAACGCATCAATTGATTCAATATCAAGGTTGTTCGTAGGTTCATCCTGAAAAATAAATCACATGTATAACAGAAATTATATTAGGAGATTAAATCATAAGTTAAACATAATATAAATAGATGATATTTTTATTCTAATAAATTATTTATTATATGTACGTGTTGTAATGATTTTTATTTATCGAATAATAAAATTAAAAGAATATATTAAAGTTATATGTAGAGGGGGAAGGACGCAACCACTACTCCCGTGCCTCAGCCTAGTCTTGTTCCAGCCATTGGCCAGGAACGATGCGTTGTCCATCAGTTTCGGAGAGCTCTCGAGGTAACACATCTCTACAGTTATTAGAAAAGTATAGACCGGATGAAGACCACCTTCAGTTGATGGAGCAGCCTACGTTTGGAGCTACCATAAAGAAAGTCCAATCAAACAGAATCTTATACATTCTTTTATACTTGAATTTTATTTTATTATGTTCATAAATATTTTATTTATTAAATATAATATTAAGTATATCGAGGTCAATTAAGCCCTCAGTGTCCATCCAATTTACAAGAATAAATAAAAAATTAATTTTAATTCAATTCTTATATTAACAAGAATATATATGAAATGAAAATAATTTATTATCCTGGGACTTGATATCCCTTTAGAAAAAATTATATTTTTTATTTGGGGTTTTCTACAACTTAAGGAGTCATATTCCCAACAGCCAAAAGCCACCACTCCCTGTCCAGATAATCTCCTTCACGGAGCCCTCTGGCTGCCATGCTTTCCTCCACGTCCTCTATCCATTGCTTCTTCTTTGCCTTCCACGCTTCCTTCTTTCAGGTAGTTATAAATTTTCTTTGGCCAGTTCTCATCCATCCGCATTAAGTGGCCATACCACTTTGATCTTTTGGTCCCGATCAGGTGAAGAATGTTCTTTTGACATCCGGCCTTGTCTCTAATTGCTGCGTTTGGGATCCACTCGATTCTAGATATGCCACAGCTTTTTCTCCAGAAATCCATTTCCATGGAAAGCAACCTATTCTCCGCCTTTTTTGTAATTGTCCAAGCTTCTGAAGCATAGGTGGCTACGCTTTCTACAAAGGAATTGTAGATCTTTTTAGTTTCCAATCTTATTCCTTTACTCCATAAGGTTGCATTTATCGAACTTATTATTCTTTTCCCATTGTATATTTTATGTTCTATGTCAACCTCACTAACTCCCTTTGAAGATAGCCAGTATCCGAGGTAGTTGAATTGTTGGCTGGCATTGAGCGTCATCAATTTCAAGGGACAAATTTGGAGCGTTGAAAACCATGTACTCTGTTTTACTTTTACTGATTTTCAGACCCCATCTGGAATACGTGTCCAGCAACTTCCTCATCATATAGCTCACATCATCCGAATCCGATGCGATTATGTTAAGAAAAAATTATATATACAGAATAAATAAAACATGTCAGTGTGGCCATACATTAAATTTAATTCTAGATCTATAATTAAAACAAATAAACAAAATGGTTTCTGGGGGGTGCATAAAGAGTTCTTTTAAGTGCATTTCTTGATTACTCGGGACGGGAAAGAAACAGGTGCTTAAAAAGAAGATATTTGAAAGAGGACACTGATTGATTTGTCAAACCCAGCTGTTTGGTGGGATGAAATCGGATGGAGGATTAAAATTGTAGGCTCTGTAAGACATGGGAGGGTCGCCAAGTTCTACGTAGCAAGGAAGTGCCGACGGCAGTAGGAGTGGTAAAGTCATTTCAACTCAGCAATATGCTTACCTCTGGAGATTCCAAAGACAAATCGTATTAAATTATTCATTAGACATTTAAGTTTGTGTTCCATTCCTCTTAAGAGTCAGCTATACACCGTACAACCGTAGTCGAAATGGGGGAAAACAAGAGAGGGAACCAGTAGTTGATGGATTTTGAATAAATTGAGTTAGCTTAGATGGTTAAACTGTTTCAGGTTAGAAATAGTAGAATGAGAAATTAGGGAGATGTGTTGTTTCCAGGACTATATAGTTTTAATTTAGAATCTCCCAAAACAATCTAACAATTATTGTCTTTTATATTTTGAATAACTTACAAGAATGAGGACATCTGGAGCTGTTTGACAGAGTTCTGCGAGGGCCACCCTAGCCTTCTGCCCTCCAGACAAATCTTTCATTTTAATGATGTGCGCATGACTGGACAGGCCAAACGTCCCAAGGACTTTCCTGGCTGTCTCATAAGGAAGATTGAAGAGCCTCATCAAATATTCCGCAGGGGTTTCCTCTGCTGTTAAATGCTCTCCTGAATGCTGGTCAAACCTGCCTATATGCTAACAGAACAAATCAAACAATTAGAACTAAAATGTAACTGCGAGAGTTATACTTTTTATAGAATTACTAGCTTAACCCGGCCACGCCCTGCTGTGGCTTAGCCTGGCAAAATGAAATAGAAAGCACATATGAGTAGATTAGGATTATGAGTAGCAAAGGACGTCTGTCATTTTTAAAAAGTTGGGAAACAAATTTGTCAGTAAAATGGCTTCAATTGAAACTAATTCTAATTGTTTTTTTTTCTCATGCTTCAAATTGAATATTCATAATCATCTGAGTAAATACGCTGTCATTCATAATCATCAGAAACAGTCTGAGTTGAACTTATAAAACTAAATTAAAAAATTAGTTAAAAAAACCTAAAATAGTATTGGCCTACATAAGGAGAATCATATAAATTCTTCAAATGATAATTTCAATTACTGTAGTAATTATAAAATTTTCGATTAATCAATAAAAAAAAAAAAAAAAAATGCTTGCCGACGTTCAGTAGTGAGGAAGCAAAAGGAAACGGCCTTTTCTGAAGAGAAAGCAGTAAATGTTTAAAACTCAATAACTCTGCAACAAACCGTCCGATTTCGAACATCGGACGATTCCGTCGATTTCATCGTAACATTTTTCAGCTTGTTTTCGGGAAAGTATGTTATACACATAAATTAAAAGGGTTTCAAGGGGAAGACTTTTGCCAAGTTTCGTTAAAATCGGTAAAGCCGTTTTGGCACTAAAGTTTATAGTGACACATTTTGACACATGAACAGAAAAACATTTACATTTTTATTTTTATTACACATATAAAATTATCGTAAGACAGGAGTACTATGCCAGAAACCTTCCCAGGAGTACGGAACAACTTTCCAAAGTTTCATGGCGATCGGTTGAATGGTTTAGTAATGCACTAAGGACAAACAGACGAACAGACAGACATACATTCATTTTTATATATATACATTATGTTAACATCACTGCTTTTGAATTATACACCCTTATTAAAGCACTACAAACAAAAGCTTCCTCGATTTTCTGATCTTTAATTTAAATTTATACGAATTAGATATATAATTTGACATATTTAGGTAGGTCTGTATTCAACAGATTAAACAAATCATTTTCTGTCTTAGGCCATTCTTCCTTTTCATACAATTTTAAAGTTTCAAATTCCATAAAAACAAAATTTAAGTGTAAACTTTTTTTTCCCACATCAAAGTAGGATTCTGATGATAATGGCTAAAAATCCATTCATAAAGTTCAATAGAAATAGTGGCATCTGATCGTGATTGAATTTAAACGATGCACGTGATGGAAATAAAATACTAATCAGGATAATAAATAAAAAATACTCTAATTCGATCCACAATTAGTTTCATTATAAATTACAAAATTTTTTTCATTATAAATTACAAATTTAGTTTCATAAAAGAGGTCTTTTTAGTATTGAAAAAAAGTTACAAAGGAGCTGAGAATCACTATAAATAAAACATATGTGTGCTGCTGGTGGTGGTGGTAGTGGGGGGGATTCCAGGAACCAATCATAGAAATAGGATTCTTAAGTTCCAGCAATGACCTCAGCCTGGAAACTGAAAGCAGTATACTGCTGGCAACCAATGCCTCTTCAGTATATCAAAACATCTACGAAGAAGGTTTTTGGGCAGTAAAAACAAAAAATAATAATAAAAAAAATCTGGTGCGCGCAACACACAACTTTCACTTACCGATCTACTATGGATAGAAATTATTTTATGGCAATGCTGGGCTATAATAAATTTTTTTGAAGTGCATTTTAAAAGGAGCTAAAGCTTACAGATAACAATTCATTAAGACCATTATAATTAAAAAATGTCTATTTAATATATCGACAACAGGCAATAAAAATCTAGTCACTACATCTGCTTTTATAAACTTCAGAATGACTAACTCCAATCTCAATATTTTTAAATGATGTCATTTTAGTGATATTTTTAGTTGAAAAAGTTATCTATGCAGAATATGAGTAAGAACATGAAAAATGTTCTTAGGAAAGATACTTTATTAAATATCTGTAGAAAAAAAGTTTTTTTAGTCTCAACAATTAAAATAGTATATTTTAAATTTATCCAAATTTTCGCCTCTTCAGGGAAAAAAACTAGAGACCATATCTTTCCTCCTAGTTGTCCGATCTTAACGATTTTTTTTTTTTTGTTTTTTTAGGAAATTCCATAAACTTTTAAAAAACCTAACAATATCCCCCAAAAAGCGTATACTTTTTTAGTTATTCGGAATTTAATTTTACTATCCCTCGTAACTTTTTTTCGAGCTTCTTTTCGTTGAAATATGTAATATAAATAAATTTAAAGGGTGTCGAGAAAATGACTTTAGCGAAGTTTCATTGAAATCGATGCATCCGTTTACTCGTTACAGTCTATAGCAATGCAGGTTTTTCTCCATTTTTTTTTTCTCTTTTATTAACTTATCAAATTCTTTTAAAAGTAATATTTAGCATTTTTTCATTACTTTGAATAATGTAAAATGATTAACTTTTTAAAATAAAACATATTTAAGGTACTTTAGAGGAAGACGTATATGAACATTGGGCATTTAAGCCCTGTAAAGTGACATCAATGGGGATAAGACCTAACTGATATTAAAGACCACTTAATTATACAATGATACACCGAGTTTAATCAAAATCGTAGAGCCATTTTTGAGAAAATTGTGAAAATGTCTTTCAGTGTTGATATAAAGTGGCACTTCTGGTTAGCCGATTTTAAGGAAAAAGTTGCCGTCACATCTAAGGCATATACCTATCTTAAATACGTAATATCAGTCTCGTAGGACTTTTCGTTTTTGAGCTAGACTGCTAACATACAAACACACAGACCATTTTTCGGGACTTGATCATTTCGACTCAGGGTACCTCAAAACGTCTATTTCTGTTGAAAACTCAGATTCAAAAATTTTCTCGATCGCAATACTTACACTTACTATATATTACATATATACGTAAGTGAAAGTAAAAATGACAGTAATTCATATATTATATTTAAAAATTCAACACGATTATTGTGAAACAAACAAATATAATATTTAAAAATAAATTTATATATATGTTTAGACAATTGTAGCATTTTTTTTTTTAGGATTTAGATCCTTCTGGCAAGCTAAAAATGATAAACTTTGAGTAAATATACAATGTTTAAAATGCATAAAATACTTCCATTTTTCTCAAAATTTTTTAATTACTTAAAATGTTAGCTGCGGTTATGGTCCCTGGGTTCCGATATTCATATCGATTTCGGCCGGGATTGTTTCGAATTTTGCCTATCTTACGAAGTTTCTAAAATGGTCATTTATAGATGTGAAGATAAATACAAACGTAAATAATCATTATGTGTGATCGATGGCGGGGACCATAACCGCAGTTAACGTGTTAATATTATTATCCACCCTACCAAGAGGATCCTGCAAAATTGTACTAATCTTAATTGTAATAAGAACATTAAAACTGAAGGTAGATGTAAATATCAAGTAATTCTCAATTTGACCTGAACCTTCTGCAGTTCTTTTGCTAACCATGACAAATAAAAACATGAAGCTCGGAAAAGATTTTGAGGACTTTTACTTAGATTGGTGTGGAAATCAATCAAACCTAATCATTTTCAAAGGCTATGAGAAAAAGATTATTTTAGGTAAAAATTGAACTCTGAACTAAAATAGAGAAACAAGGGAATCATTCAAAAGAATACATTCAAATAAACATTCAAACTTTCACATGAGATAAAACTTAACACACTAAATACAAGATGATCTATATAAAGCCATTATATGATCCTTTCAGTTGAGAGAATGACTAACTCCAATTTCAATATTTTTGATTAATCAATTTTAGTGATATTTCTAGGGGAAAAATAAATAACTTTATTCACAGTCCTATATTTTAACACTGCAATCCATTTACTCGCTGTCTGTACATTATAAATTTCCAACTAGAAATATCAATAAAATGACTTCACTCAAAACTCTTGAAATTGGAGTTAATCATTCTGTCAACTGAAAGGCTCATATGATTCTGATAGAAATCTTTCAACAAGCCTCATTTTTGTTCAATCACCTGTTATTGTTTAAACAACATCACATGTTATTCCGTTTTGAGATTTTATTTCTTTTTTGGATCCCCTTCCCTTCCTAAGGCTATACGGGATTTTCCCGTGCCAGGGAGTGTGGGTGGGGATTTAAAAGACTCCCCTGGCACCGGGAAGCGAACTCATGAATATTTTTTTATCAACTTGTCTCATACATCAGGTTGCCCACTGTTTTGAGGAGTTATTAAAAAATTATATAAATAATAATCAAAATAACAACAATGATACTTAGAAGACTTACAAGCCGATGATTTTTTTTAACCTCCCCTCTGAGTGGGGTGAGATCACCAGTGAGCAGTTTAAGGAACGTAGATTTGCCAACACCATTTGGTCCGACGATGGCAACTCGAGAGCTGAGGTCTATACCAAAATCCACCTGATTGAATAATGGCTTCTGATCAGGATAGGCGAAATCAACATCTAAAAAAGAAGACAAAAATATAATTATTGTGTATATTAGACTTGCTCCCTCTCCCTCCCCCCAAAAAATGAAGAATTTATGTGGCTCAATGGAGAATGGAAAATATTTGTAAAAATAAATAATGTAAATTCAATCCGTACATATATTATTACAGTAAGGATCGAAATCGGTTTTGTACCAAATATAAGCTCTTGTCATGCTCAAATACCATGAATGGGGTACCGTTGGATTCAGAATTTCACGGGGGGTTAGCGAATCGTATTCTCCACTTTTGTTTTTCTTTCTAAAATAAATAAAGTCGATACAAACATTTTGCTAGGCTTCAATACCTGAACAGGGGTAGGTCTGTAGATCGATACGGGACAAATAGGATCAAGAAGATTTTGATGCATACAGCAAGACCCGGATAGTTCTCCCGGAACTATCGGATCCTACGTTTTTAAGTCCAAAAACGTACTATTTTCGAGATAAAGCAAGGCATAGGGTTCGCATCCACACAACCTTACATTAATTGTAGTACTTTCATTGAATACATGTCTCATTTCGTCGACTTGAGGTCTCTATTATCTAGAGGGGAGGAGTTTATATTATTTATCGAGGGTGTTTTTGATCGGCAAGCCATATCATCATCAATTTTTCACCAAATCTCAAGATTGAGCCACCAATTTCGAAGGCTTCCTTCTTCAGACGGACAAAATAGACCAATCATCCCAAAAATTCAGGCAAAAAAGTTATAAAAGAAAACAAACTTTATTTGCGAATAACTAAAAAATTACACACATTTCCCTTGGCTATGCCCATGATTATATAAAAGATTACTTAATTCCCTACAAAAGGAAAAAAAAAATCATTGAAATCGGACAATTTTTAGCAAAGATACAGCTTACTGAAATTTACAAACATGTTGGTTCCAAACAAAAATGAAGATTTAAATTAATTTTTGTTTTCTTGGTCAATTATATTTATTGATAAAGTAACATTTGATTTCTTTATCTTTTGATGGGTTGCATTATTTTCTTTTCTTATTAATCTGGCATTTGATAACAATATGCTGTGCGAATTTTTCGCACGGGCCTACTAGTTATAACATTATAACAACAAAGCTTTTTTTTCCTCTTTCATGCCTTTTCGGTGGCTATACAGGATTTTTCCTGAGCCAAGGGATTTATGCCTGAGTTAAAAGTAGCCTTCGGCAATAGGATTCAAACTCAAAAAGTAATGTGTATTTAACACACCCGTTAGCCTACTCGGCCACCCTGTCCACAAAAAAATAACACTAAAGTATCAATTTTTTTTAGGCATGTTGAACTATTACTGCCTACAATGGGAACTTTTCTTAAAGACTCCCCTATACAGGAGTTTTAACAGTAAAATCCAGAAAGTTATTTAACAATTTGAAATTAATGTATCACAAATGAAAGTAGAATTATTAGTAATTGTAGGTTTATGGTTGACTGTAGTGAATAATTGAAGAGAAGGAAGTAAAGTAAAACTACTTCTTGTAGAGCAGCCCTGATGAAGGCCTGAACTTCGGGCTGAAACGTCGACGAATGTAAAAATAAGTAATGTTATTTATTCACTTCACAATACTTTTTTATTTGATAGCACCCGTTACTATTTTTTGCAACCTCGAATACACACACATTCAAAATGATCGAGGGGTACCCTCCTAGTTATCTTATAAAAAAAAAAACCTTAGCAAACGGATTTATGTCAAAAACCATATCTATCTTAAAAAATCAGAAACAGAGTAAATAAAAAGTGTATAAAAGTATTAAGAACATCCAAATATCAATAGATAATTGAATGTTCTTAATACTTTATTCATTTATTAAAAGAGTACTATTATTTACAATATAAATTCTGAAAAAGTAGTAAAAGTTAATTTATAAAAACATCATATTATAATTTTGTTTTGCTTAATAAAAGCTATTTTCATTTCATTGAATACTTTTGTATCTGTTTATATTTCAATGTTCTTAATATTTTTCTATACTTTTTATTTACTCTGTTTATAATTATCTTAATTTTTGAAGTGAAAACTTCTTTAGGCGCGATTTGCACTTCTTTTTTTTTGGCATCAAGTATCCAATAAAAATAAAATGGCTTAAAGTAATGCTTTAATTATAATTAATACGTAAATTAAAAGAAGTGACTTACTGTGAAGACCAAGGATGGGCGGCTGTAGTGGCGGAGGGTCTGGGAATGAAAACTTGACAATATAATCTTTCGGTTTCTGGAGCAATTCTATCGGCCCGTTATCATCATCCCTCTTCTGTAACTTTGTTTTGTTCTTTTCCTGTTTTCTAGTAAGCGCTTCCTTCTGTTTCTTTTCCTATTGAAATAGATAGAAACATTATAAGCCTTACAATTTACTCAATGAAGATACAATTTTATATTATTTTGATACAATTTTATTTTTTATATTGGATATGAAAAAAAAAGGGTAAATTTGAGCTGCAATAGAATTCAAATGATTAAGGATAAACATAAGATTGAGATAGCTAATTTTAAATAATAACAAAATCTGGTGCGCACATCACAAAACTTTCACTTACCACCCTCTTCTTAGCAGAAATAAGTATTTTCAGAAAAAGGGGTAGTGAAAGCAAAAATTAGTGACGCTAAATTTATTTACAGTGCATTGTAGGTATTTTTATTTGTTTAAATACCTATATATATATACAAATTTAAAATTTTATATCGCTGTATTCTATACAATTAAATATTAAATAAAACCAATGACAGCATTTATGAAAACCGCATAGTTCGATTTGGCTCAAAGTTGGATAAAAGGTAGGTATTTGTAAAAAAATAATGTAGGATCAATTTTATTGAATTCTGTCCATTGCTTTCTCTTATATATGCGCAAACGTGTTTTCCTTGATACGTCTATATCTCTAAAATCGCAAGTTCGATTTGGTTCAAATTTGGAGGGAATTTAGGGATTGATAAACATAAAATGAAATAGGCATCAATTTTATCAAATTCTATCTACTACTAAAAAAAAAATACTTCCACTTTTAGATCAGGAAATGTGTTATTTGATTTGCCTATAGTTTGAAAACGGGGCATTCAATTTGACCCAAACTTTGGAGGAAATTTGGAGAACAGTATAGAAATTACTTAGTATAAATTTCATTGAATTCCATTTAATAATTAAAATCGATATAAATAATTGTTAACAATATAATGGCTGTGAAATGTTGAAGGCACTAATCATATAGCGTGGGATTTAGGTTATTACAATATATTGTAATGGGGTTATAACATTTTAGGTTTTATTAAAAAAATTAATTGATACTGTATTGTTTGGTCGATTCCAAACGTTACTGGCATGATACTCACTGCCCTTATTAGATTTCGTAAATTTAAAGTAATTTTTACTCTGAATTTGTAAACAAAAAAAATGTCTAATTTGTCATAGGGTTTATTTGCACTGAAGTTCAATCAGTTTGTCTTGGTCTCGATTTCCTCCTTAAATATCGAAGTTGTGCGAACTTCACTCATATTTTTATATTCAAGATTAATTAGTTTGTTCTGACTGAAGAGAAGTATTAGTGATACCTGCCAGTCCCTGCTAAGCATAAAGCATATAATGGAAGATTGTACATTACTACAACAAGTCTTTTTAAAAAACAAAATACCCCGTTATAGAAAACTAGCATTAAAAGACTCAGTTAATTCAATAGAAAATATTATAAAACTTTTAAAACAAATACAATTGTCCCATGGAATATAACAATTAATGCAATACATGAAAAGAAACTTTTTTTTTTCCATTTAGAAAGATAAGTTAAAAATAATAACATCATAGCTGAAGGGCATCATAACCAAGTTGTTGATCGCCTAGGGCAAGTCGTAACCTAACCTTGACATAGCAACATGAACAGACTATACTGGTCATTAAATTTATGTTGATTAGTTTAAATAATTATTATTAGCCCATAGTGAGTTCAAACAACTAATTTGTTTTAAATAGAACAATTGTACATTTCTTTATTACAAATAAATAGTTGTTATTAAAAATAAGTATTATGGAAACAAAAAATGTATATCGTAATAATAAAATATAGAAAATCATAAATGTTAGGGCTTACTGCTTGCTTTTTAGACTGTCCATGAGATTTCAATTCCTTCAGTCGTTTTTCCTGTTTCTCGTATTCCTTGATCATTTCTTTCCTTTTCTGAACGTACATTTTCTTGAACATCGAATAATTTCCTTTATAATAATATAACTTGAGAGTATCAAGATGAATTACTTCATTGCAAACATTATCCAAGAAACTCTGGTCGTGAGATACAATAAGAAGTGTCTTCTTCCATCCTTGTAAATAGCTGTCAACATTTTTAATTTTCTCAATATCTTTCGCAATAAACTATGGCAAAAATAATATTAATATACTAGAGCAAAAATTAAAAAAGTGACAAAAATTAGTATTACAATATTATAATATAAATAGAAAATTCAAAATATAAATCTTTAAGTCTCTGAAAGTTCTAAGCACCCCAGGATTCTGAGAATGACTGTTCTATTATAATTTATAGAAATTATTATCTTAAGAGTCATTATGACAGCACAGATTCTTATAACAAATTTACCGATAAGGCAACCAATAGCATAGCAAGAGGCGGTTACACACCCGATCTTTTGTTTGTTCTCGCTTCAGTCTCAACTATTCTCCTTCCAGAAATCGATTGTGTAAAGCCTCCAATGCGATGGCCTCGAGTTCTGTGGGTGAAGAATTTTGTTCGGAGACAGATGATGTCAACTTCGTATAGCAATTAATGCGTCATGTTGGGTTGATGAGAATGGTTCATAGTTTTGGAAGGCCTGGGCCAATCTATAATCGTTCCTGAATAATTCCACTAAATATAACAACATGGTTTCAGAGAAGAGTCGAAGACATTCGCTCAAGGTTAAAGCAGTCGATTTTTGTCTAAAAGTGTTGTGGCTCTATTGGTTTCTGAAACTGCACTGCTGCGATAGACACCACCAATAATAATTCTTATCGCATGATTCTGGACTATGCCAAGTTTTTTGACAGTGGATTAAGAAGCAGTCATCAATAGCCCAATTCCTTACTTCATAAGTCTTACATGTGAGATTAGCGTAGATAGCTAGATAGATAGAAAAAAAAAACACTGTATTCTGGGACTAAGTCCCTTTAGAACAACAAAATTGTACAAAAAAAAAAAAAAAAAGATACTACTTCTGGCTTTAAAGTTTGAAACAATAAATTAAATTTAAAAAGTAAAGAAAACCTTAAGTGAACAAGTTATATACAAACAGATAAAACTATGAACAAAACATTTAAAGCTATATATAATGGTAGAACAGCATAAATTGCTGTAGAACAATTTTAAGAAATAAAGAAGAAGAAGAGACAAAATAAAATAAGTTCTTTTCATAAAAAAAAGATTCATAATTGGTAAAATGGATACTGTCGTGAATAATGAAGAGAAGAATAGTTGGGGTAATCAGTCAAATAAGAAGGCAAAAATAAATGATACTATTTTCAAGTTAATTTATTATTAGCCATATTTACACCAATTTCTAAAAAATGGTGTAAATATGGCTAATAATAAATTAACTTGAAAATAAATAGTTTTCAACCAATTTTTTAAAAATTGGTGTAAATATGGCTAATAATAAATTAACTTGAAAATAAATAGTATAAGAAGAAGTGAGAAATATTGTAAATGATACTATTTATTTTGACATTAGCCGACGTTTCAACCTGAAGTTCAGGCCATCATTAGGGCTAAGAAAAGAACCAGATAACAAAGTATGAGAAACATAAGTAGTGTAGGTAAAAAAAATTAAAGTAAAATTCAGTTGTTAGAATAATGACAATAGTAAGAACAAATAGATAAATGATAATAAGCGGTACAAAGTGTGGAATGATGAAGTAAACATAATCAAAAAAGGTGACATAAGTATTGTATTGTATAGACAACGTATAATATAATATAGAGTTAAAACAGAGCAGAGGGATGAAAGGAAGGAGGAAAGAAACTGAGAAGGCTGAAATAAGAAACAGAATAAGAAAGAAAAAGAAGAAAAAGACCCACCTGACTGCAAGATGTAAGTCGAAGCAATGAGTGTGTTAATACGGGGAGGGGGTGGAGAGAAGGTAAAAAAAAATAGATGTATTGAGTGGCGTCGAAAGTAGGAAATACATATACTATCCCTACCAAAGAACAGTATTATCATATGATTATATGATTGTTATGCAATACATATATATAATGCCAATAGCTAGCAGGTATCTGACTGTTTTTGGAACAGAAATTGGAATAGGTTTTTGAAAGTGGATACGGAGGGGGCATACTGAATTTGGATAGGGGGGAATTCCAGAAGTTGACAGAGCGGGCTACAAAGGAGTTTTGGAATGAGGTAGATCTATGAGAAGAAATGTATAGGTTAGAAGGTCGAGATCTTGTGGTGAGGGAATGGATTGAGGACTTGAATTGGAGCAGGTGGTAGGCATAGGAAGGACGATGATCATTAATAATTTGATAAAGGAATGTGCCAATATTGTCTTCTTAAGGAGAGGAAGAGCAAACCTAACTCAGTGTAGTGGACACGGGAGCGTCTCGGGATTCCATACATTGTGTTATGAAAATATTCTATTTCAAAAGGAAGACAGTATATAAACATAAGCACGTTTATGGGATCAATTGTTACACTGATGGGTCACTTATGACATGCGGATCTGGAGCTGGTTTCTGGATAAGGGATAAACCAGAGGAGGGCGTGTCAATAGCACTTGGAAATTACGCAACAGTGTTTCAATTTGAAATACTGGCAATAACTCACTGTGCTTCAAAAATGCTGCTTGACGGGTTAGTTGGAAGGAGAATAGCAATATTTACAGACAGTCAAGCGGGTATACGAGCACTGGACAACTATACAACTAGATCCAGGGTGGTTGGGGATTGTGTTAGAATTCTCAACAAATTGTCTAGACTTAATAAGGTATACATTGAATGGGTTCCGGGTCACTCTGGAATTCACGGTAATGAAATGTTTGATGAACTAGCCAGACAAGGCTCTCAAACACACCAATAGCTTCGGAACCCATCTGTGGTATTAGTCAGTGTCTGACAATAAACAGAATAGGGGAGATATATGGTGCTGAAAACAAAAGGAACTGGTCTTTGAAAAAGCAGACCCAATCGAGACTGTTTCTGGAAGGAATCTGCCAAAAAAGAACCAACTTACTAATTAATTTGAGCAGGAGCTCACTTAAGAAAATTACAGCAGCATATACAGGGCACTGTAAACTAAATTATCATATGTTCAAACTCCGGCTCACAGAGTCGTCTCTTTGTAGGTACTGTGGACGGGAGGATGAGAGAGTGTATCATGTTACTTGCTGGTGCGATGGGTTTGCTGGCCTAAGATTTCGTTTATTCGGTACTGACAGGGAGAAGGATCCCAAGGCAAACGAACTTATCAGTCCAACAAGCTTGTTACAGTTCATAGAGAGTGCAGGAATCACACTCTAACTGAAGTGACTTCAAACTAGGCGTACAATAGTATGGCCGTAGTGCACTCTTGCCGCAAAAAAAAAAAAAAAGACAGTATATTGAGGATGAAACGGCATATCATATCATCTTTTGGTGCGACAGGTTCTGAGGACTTAGGTTCAGAATATTTGGGAAGGATTGACTGACCGCTCTAGTGAGCTTGTCAATCCAAACACAAAACTGATATGTTTTGTTCATGCTTCTAAATAATTTTTTGAAGTAAACAGTTTTTAGGCTATAGCACACAATAGGCCTGAGTAGGTAGTAGTGCATTATGCCAGCTGTAAAAAAAAAAAAAAAGACAGACTTAATGCATATGTATATTGTCGATTTATTGCATTTTGATACAAGTTAACTTTCAAATATGTTTTTGTGAATTACGGCTTTATTTATAACAGTAGTGCAGACCCCTTTTTGACAAATTATTGACATCTACCTTAAAACTTCATGAATGATTTCATCTTATCGTAACCTACAAATTTTTTATCAACGAAAATTCTCAGAAACGGGGTGCTTTCTCATTAAATCAATTAATTTAATGAGGCAATAAAAAACTTATAAATACCCATTTGTTTTTCACTTGAATGATAAGATAATCTGATCACTAAATTAAAAAAAATAAAATAAAAAAGGTGTCTGACGAAAATATTGGATTCTTTGGCTTATATAACCTCATTATTTTGACATGTTGGGGGTGGAGGTCATGCCAAACCTTTTTTCCTGATAAAATTATCTTATAATTCAAATGGAAAGCAAATGGGTGTTCATGAGTTTTTAGTATATAATCAAATAGACAAAGCTAACTGATCTCCAGATTTAAAATACTCCAATTCTGAGATTATTGTAAATAAAAAAGTTGTAGATTACGATGAGATGAAGCTATTTACGAAGTTTCAGGTGGATGTTAATAATTTGATAAAACGGTGTCTGTACCATGGACTACTTTGTTATATTTCTTTTATCGTTATTTTTATAAGTATTGATTAGCTAGAAAAAATCAACTTGAGTTTTATCAATAAAATAAAATTAGCTAATATTTTAGGTTCGACAAGCTATTGCCTTATGTATATATAAACATATAAGACTTTTTAATAGATTTGTAGCGGCAGCTGGTTCTCATCTCTTGCCACAAAAGGGACTAGTTCACTTACCCGCTACCTAGCAGAGCCATACAAGCTCGCCCGTGCAATGTACCTTAAAGATGTATTTTTATTTCTTATTGTTATATGATAAAATACTCAAATTGTAAATTGAAATATGTAAATACTTTTTATCAATAAAGTTTAACGGCGATAACATATATTAATGAAAGCTTAAAAATAACTGTAATTGTAATGAATCCTGATAGCCGATTTAGTCTTGGCGGAATGAACATAGTAGTTCTGTTTCAAATTGTCATACCTTGGGATCTCCACCCCTTCAGGGTGTAGACCAACACGCAGATGATCAGTATACGCTTTTTGTTCTCTTTAATCTGCTCTTCTTATTTTACACTATCCTTTAACCTTTTATCCTCTTCTCTTACTCCATGCAAGTTTGGACGCCGATTCGTCTGCTCGTATTCCTCTATACTAAGTCAGGAGATTGATCCCTCCGGTTGTGGTAACCATCCTTGCGGAGTGATAAGGTTGATCCCTTACACCGTAGACCGAGAGTGATTGAGTGCTGATTCGCCTTACAGTTAAGGTCATCCTTCTATACATCTTCCTACATACACTCAGACATCTTACCCCTCTATACTGTTTTTTAAGATTTGTCTTCGGCACTTCGAGATGGTCTCATGTGTCCCACCTATATTCCGAGTCAAAGTGGCTCTTCCCCTCTTCCCGCCGCCTATACTTCCTTGGAAATTTCTTATATCAAACGATCAACTCCCAGCACCCTTCCTATATCTACTGTCTCCTCAAGCCGAAACCTTTAGTCCACTCAATAAAAACGAGATCCCGTGATTCTGACCTCTATATTCCATTCCACAGGACAAAAACCTATGAACGTTCCTTCTTAGCCCGCTCCGTCACCTACTGGAATTCTTTGCCACATAACATCCGTCATGCCTCTTCACTGTCAACCTTCAAATACCTCCTTTTCCAATATCTCCTCACATCCCAAACAGACGATTCGCAACCATAAATTTCATTTTATGAACTGAATTTGTGAGAAGTAAATGGTGATGCCTACAGTTTAAGTTTTAACATAAAACAGCAATGATTTTTTACTATTATTTTTACTATTTATTTGTATTTCTCTTCACCTCAGGTTGTGCTTTTTCTTTCATGTATATATAGTTTATATTTTATACTTTTTGTCTCACTGTGTAGCAATATGAGTAAGTACGTATATATAGTTCCTTTTTTACCTTTATACCACAATTATTCCTGAGATTTTATTTTATCTTAGTGTTTGCTTATTATTTTATGAATCACTGTAAATATTATTACATTTTGTATTAAATTATGTTTCTATTAGATAGCCTATTATTTATAAATTGTGCAGTTATGTATATATAGATATGTAATTTCTTTTCTGTCTTTTTTTTTTTTTATCGTAATAATAAGTAAATTTGGAGAAGATTGTATGTTCATTTATATATGTATGTATGTATATATATGTATGTGTGTGTATGTATATATATGTGCGTGTGTTTATATATGTGTATATTTTTTTTTGTTTATTTCTTAGTGGTTACATACTACTTTTTAAATAATGTATATTACGTTAGAATTTTTTTAAGTTAGTTTTTGGCCAGATTGGTATTTTATTTTGTATTAATTCATCTTTGTTATTCTAAGGGGACTTAGTCCCAGAATAAAGTTCTATTTTCTATTCTATTCTATACTGAACACGCAATGCCGATGCCTTCTGGTAAATGTGTATATCCTCTGTTCATATACCTCGACAGAATCATTTATTCCAATTGTTAAAATAAATTATCTTTGTTATACAGGAGTGGATGTTCCTTTTTATTTAGTTGTTCTACATGCCTCATAACTGAAGAACAACAAACCAGATGAGTCAATTCATTTAAATTGTATATCCGACATTTCATATATTCATACTATTTCTTACCACTCAATATCATAAAAGAATTAGATTCTCGAATCCCCAACAGCAGTAAACACCCTCAAAAAAACTTTATCCAGAACCGGGATTTTAAAAAAAAAATTAAAATTAAAATTAAATAACCAAGAGCCCCCAAGAAAAACGGAAGGTTATTTACAATATAGCTAAATGTTAATACAAACAATATAAATATTAAAAGAATTAGCTTACTTATCAAGCCAGATTACAGCATTAAGATCCAAGTGGTTTGTAGGTTCATCAAGAAGTAAAAGTGTAGGCTCGACGAATAAAGCCCTGGCAAGAGAAACTCTCATCCTCCAGCCACCAGAGAAGTTTTTAGTTGCACGATCCTGCATGGACTTTGAAAACCCGAGACCAGCGAGGATCCTCCGGGCTCGCGGTTCTGCTGAATCGGCACCGATAGCTTTCAGTTCTTCATAGACCTAGAGAAAACATTTTAAAATTGATTTTTAAGTATTGAATTTAATACAACAAAAACCATTGAAATATGCCATATAATATTCATTAAAAAATATGATAATACACTGTTCGAGCACGTCAAACACTTTAATATTAATTTTTTAATTATACTGTTTCACAAACTAATATGCTGGCGAAATATATTTATTTACCATGCTATATTTTTAACCATTTAGTAGTATATATTTATACAATGGTATGTAAATATAGAGTGGTCAATCCATTTGAAATCACCCAGACCATGTTGATCGACATTTTTGATTTTCATGTTTTTTTTTACCCGTTATATTTATTTGAGTTTTTTTAACCACTTTCTTTTCTTTTCAGGTGATCTATTGATAAACAAAATGTAGACAAGATACCCATAATTATTCCAGTTTTTATTTTGGTTTGATATCTACAAAATTACCAGATTTATAGACATTTTCCCAAAACATGTTTTCAGCGGAAAAAAAAAAAAAAAAAAAAAAATGGCCACCGAGAAAAAAAAAACGGTGATCCTTAAAATTTTTTAAAACTATAATTTCGAACTCTCAAATAAATATAGATTAATTGGTAAAAAAATTATAAAAATCAAAAAGTCGAGCAACAAAATTAATTCAAATTGGGTGATTTTAAATGGATTGAACTAGTGTAGTTTACAGTAAGATGGAGAGGATTAAGAGATAAAACATCAAGAAAATGACTTTAGCCAAGTTTCTTTGAAATCGATACATTCTTTTAGCTGTTAAAGTCGATAGCAACGTCGGTTTTTAGGCCGCCATCTTGAAAGGAAAAGGCAGATAGTAATATCGATGAAGGAGGTCACCCTCTGGTGACCTCTGACTTTAAATCCAAATTTGAAAAAAAAGCGGTCCAGTAATTTTAGAGAAAATGTGCAGATGACGGCATACGAACAAAAACATTTTTTATTTGTTTTCGAATTCTACGTATCCTGAAACGTAAAACCTCAAATTTTGAGAGGGTGTTAAGTTGTTAAATTTTTTGTTCGATTACAATGTTTTATTATTTAAAATAATAAACCAAAAGGTAGCATAAATAAATAAAAATTATATAAATAAATATCCAGTTGAAATTTAGATTAATGATATTTGTGATTTCAAAATAAGTTTTAATAAAAAGACGAAATTGATTAAGTAAAATATAGTAGTATTTTTCGGGAAATTTCATAAGGAATTAAGTTTAATATAATTTTTTATTTATTTATTATTATTTTAAGGAAATATAAAATAAAGTGTGCTATGTGTAGGTGAAAATTTTTAGATAAATCAAGAATAAATATGATCAGAAAACTGATTTCCGTCATTGAAATGTGTAGCATTCTGATAAGATAACACTGAATATATGGAACAAACATATGGTGTCGAGAGGAACTTTGTGTTTTACAGTACAAATTAACTTTAATCTCCACATATATTATTTCATCAAAGCTAGAGATCAGTTACTTACCAAATAAAAGGTCCAGTCATACTCAAATGCTAAGAATGGGGAATAGTTGGATTCAGGATTTCATCGAAGAGTACTAATACTTTTAGAATTTTTAAAGCTTACCTCTTTTAGTCTTTCCTGCGATTCAAAATCGACTTTATTTTCCAACTCTTTAGCAAGTTTTAACAGTTCAGTTCGTTTTATATCCGCTTTAAGAACAGCTTCAACAGCGGGAGTGTCATCAGATACTACTTCTTGTTCACAGTAGAGTATATCGATTCCAGGTGGAATATCAAATGCTCTGCTCGCAATGTGTCGCAGAAGTGTAGTTTTTCCATGTCTGAAATATAATTTTAGGGGTGGTATAATCTTCAAAGGGTGGTAGTGAGGTTGATATCGAACATAAAATAAATAATGGGAAAAGAATAATAAGTTCGATAAATTCAACCCTATGGAGTAAAGAAATAAGATTAGAAACTAAAAAGAAGATATACCATTCCTTTGTAGAAAGCGTAGCCACTTACGGATCAGAAGTCTGGACACTGACAAAAAAGATGGAAAATAAGTTGCTTTCCATGGAAATGGATTTCTGGAGAAGAAGCTGTGGCATATCCAGAATCGAGCGGATCCCAAACGCAGCAATTAGAGACAAGGTCGGATGTCAAAAGAACATCCTTCACCTGATCGGGACCAAACGGTTAAAGTGGTATGGCCACTTAATGCGGATGGATGAGAACCGCTGGCCAAAGAAAATTTATAACTATATGCCACCTGAAAGAAGGAAGCGTGGAAGGCCAAAGAAGAAATGGATAGAGGACGTGGAGGAAAGCATGGCAGCCAGAGGGCTTCGTGAAGGAGATTGGATGGACAGGGAGCAGTGGCTTTTGGGTGTTGGGGATATGACTCCTTGAGTTGTATAAAACCCAAATAAAAAAAAAAAAAAAAAAAAAAAATATAATTTTAGAAAAAATAATAATCGTGTGATTTTCAAGGAACAAAGCTATACATTAATATTAATAAGTTTTAGCAATCACAAACGATCAATCAAGTCAGCCAACAATCTAATAATTATTAGATTTATTAATAACTACATTGAATCCATTAAGAGGGTTATGGGTTTTGATTGACAGTTTGTAGGTATGAAATGATTATTTGAGTGAACAGCTGGATAAATTTTTAGATATGATGGATGATATTATTCATTGAGTGTTTTGAAACAACTCGAGCTAAAAATACTGGCATTACATACAAATATATAATAATAATAATAATAATAATAAGGCTTAGCGAACCCGAAGGTTCGATGCCGACACCACCAATCGCTTGTTACACACCTCCCTCCACCGTTCGCCGTCCAAACCCAGTCCCTTCAGATCAGCTTTAATGCAATCTTCCCACCTTCGCTTCGGTCTACCCCTCCGACGCTTACCATTCGGCACAGCAAATATTAACCTTTTAGGAATTCTCTCGTTACTAAGCCCAACAACTTTACAAGCCCATTTGATTCGCCGCGATGAAATTACCTCAATTATATTACCCGGATATAGCTCACGCAATTCGGCGTTGTGTAACCGTCTGAACTCTCCGGTTAACTCATCCTTCTTCGGTCCGAATATTCTACGCAATACTTTATTTTCAAAAACCTTAAGACGCTGCTCATCCCTTAATGTAAGCGGCCAAGTTTCGCATCCATAAAGAACTGTAGGCAAGATAATTGTTTTATAGATTCTAATTTTTAAGTTTCGGGACAAGAGGCGCGAACTGAGTAGTTTTGTCACAGAAAAATAACAAGCATTCCCCGCCTTCAGTCTAACTTTAATCTCTTCTTCAATTTCGTTTTTTCTAGTTATCGTAGAACCTAGATACCTAAATTTATCTACCTGTTCAAACATATTACCATCTATATCGATATCACCAGTAGTATCGCCATTTTTGCAGCTAACCATATATTTTGTTTTATCCACGTTTATTTCGAGTCCTAGTTCTTTACCGGCTTTCATTAACGTTAACATACAAATATATAATGTGTTTATTATCTTCATTAATATATGTGTAACAACTTATTCAGCAAACTGCTTTTTAAATTAGATGTTTCAGATTGCTCACTTGAAATCTCTTGAAAAAAATATTTAATTGTATTTTGGTATTATCAAAATTTTGGTGGTTTCATATCGTGTCATAATTTCGTGATCATATAATACAAAAGGTGAGGAAGGGGTGGACCAAAAAAAAATTATTAAGTTCCTGTACTCTGCTAATACAAAATAAAGATTTCACACCAAAAATTTATATTAAATTGGTAATTTTAATTTACTTAGGTGATGCAAGCAGTTATTTTTTAATCTTTACATCTTCCTCTTAAATACATTATATTATATAAAATATTATTTAAATTATATTGCGATATAATTATAATTATTATGAAATAGAAAAGTAAGTAAAATATAACTTAAATGAAAATATTAGAAATAAAAGGCTGAGATTGATGTTCGGCTTATATGAAGCTGGACAAGTTGAATATATATTATGGTTACAAATTGGCAATAAGAATAGTTATAATTATATAATAATACAAATTATCAATACGGTGTGATGTATAATATAGATCTTTAAAGAAATTAAATATTTTTCGGAACAGTGGTTTTGTTAAGTTTATTTTATGTCGATAAAAAATAATTTAATCTGAGCAACGAGTAGTACAATTAAATGAGCAGTTGTAAAATGGGGGTTGATCCGCTGTTAGGCATACAGGAGGTACATAATCTAGTATATATATATAAATCATTATCATTTATTAATGCAAATTATAATTGGATCAAATAAAATATGAATTTACCCATTGGGACCGACCAAACCATATCGTCGTCCATTAGCTATAAGTAAATTAGCATTTACGAACAAATCCTTTCCTTTTGCTGAAATACTGAAATTTTCGACCTAAAATTAAAAAAAAATAAAATAAGATAACTTCTCAAAATAAAATAAAAATAAATATTTAAACTATCAGACTATACACCTTGATGTCGACAGCATTTTCTAGAGCTTGAAGTTGCCCGGCTGATTTCTGGGTTTGTGATACGGTAAAGTTTTCACCAAGTTCACTGTGCCCTTGTCCACCTTTTTTTGTCAAAGCTTCCATCTGTTTCTGATAATCTTGCTAAAAAGCAGGAGATTCAAACATTACTAAAGCGAAAAAATTAGAATGCAAATACTTAAATACTTCATTACATATAAAATCAGTTTTTCAAAAATTTTTATAATAAGATGTAATAAATACGAGAAATAAGTAAATGAGTTTACGTTGATATAAATTATTTACTGATCTGAATGAAAGTAGAATTTTTTTATATTACTTCAGCACATCTGTACTCACCAAACTACTTCAGGCATGCCATTAGCTTGTGATTTTTTAATTTTTTTTTTTTAAATTTAAATTATGTTACAACAAATAAAACCAAAATTTTAAGCAACATTTATTGTAAATAAAATTTATAAGTACAAAAACAAATTGGTGGTTTATAAAACAAAACAACCATAAACAAATACTTTTACACATCAATAATACAATCTTTAGGAGGTAATCCTCACTCGGATGACAATAATCGACTATAATACTCATTGAAAAAATTCTTATAATCAAATCAGTCTTATTATTATCACAATATAGGGTTCATTACAATTTACAAATGAGATCATTTAAATCATAATTGACATTTTCCTGAGTATAAAAATTCAGTATCACATCAGCATTTTTGGTAGCAGCCTTCATTTCGCTGCAACGATTCTTAATAAACAAATTTTTTTTTTGGAGGGTTTCATTCAAACAATAATTAAACTAAAGGTGGTGATACCTCTTTCTTTAGTTTCTTCTTTTCTTTGTGTGTAAGCTTCTTGGCTGGTTCTATAATATAAAAATGAATATAAATATGTGAAATTGTAAAATAAAATAAAATTTAATAATAATGATAACTTTATTGTAACTAACCTGCTGTTACAACTGGCTTTTCTATTACTTCTTTCTCTTCGTCACCTTCACCTTCATATTCAGGTTCATCTTCTTCTAGAATATCCATTTCAACTGGACTTGGAGCTTTAGCAATTTTTGCCTTTTTTGAGTTACTAGCAGTCTTTTTGGATTTTTTCTCTTTTTCAGGAGCTTTACTATCTATTTTCAATTCGCTTACTTTTTCAGTAACAGATTTCACACCCGAATCTTCCTTTTTACCCTGACTCCTTGTCATCCTTGGATTTGGCACAACATATGTTACGTTGAGGTCAGGTGCTTTAGATTCAGTTTCTCCGTTTTCAGGAGGATCATCGATTAGTTCGTTCTTTGTATCAACATCAGACACACCATCATCCATTTTTGTTTCAATTAAATCTGAAGGTGGTTCTGGTGGCAGATCCTCTTCAAGAACTATTTCTTCAGTAACTTCATCTTCTTCTTCAGAAAAGTTAACCTTACCTTTCTGTTTCTTTTTAGACTTCTTATCTGGTATAACAGGTTCATTATCACTATCTTCGATTACATTTGGAATTTCAATATCATTAGTTGCTTCATCATCACTGAGATCCTGACCTTTATTTTTGCCTTTTTTAAGCTTCTTCGTTTGCTTCTTAACTGGTTTAGTTTCTGGTTCGACATCCTTGTCACTATCTTCCTTTGGCACAACAATACCGTTGACAGATTCATCATCGCTCCAGTCCTGATTTTTTCCTTTAGCTTTTTTTTGTTTCTTTGCCTGTTTTTTTGGTTTATTTTCTGGCTCGACTTCTTCTTTATCGCTTTCATCTGGTTTTGGAATATCCAAATCGTCACCACCATCATCTTCACTCCAATCTTGACCTTTTCCTTTTACCTTCTTCTGTTTCTTGGTTTGTTTTTTTGCAGGCTTAGATTCCTGTTCCTCTTCTTTAGCGTTATTAACATCTATGGGTTCATCATCATCACTAAAATCATCATTTTTACTCTTACCTTTTTGTTTCTTCTTAGGAGCAGTTTTAGCTTTGACTTGGGCTTTTTGAATTTCTTCAACTTCTTCATCACTGACATCACCTTTTTTCCCTTTCTTTTTCTTGTTTGCTGCTTTTTTCGGCTTGAGGTTGCTCATTTCATCATCTGACTCAACATCTTCTGTTGCTTTACCTTTTTGTTTCTTTTTACTAGTTTTACTGGTCTCTTCAACATCTAAATCTTCTTTCACAGCTTTGCCCTTCTTTGGTGGCATTGTTCGTATTATATTAAAACGATTAACAAGCAAACAATAATATTAACTGTAGTTAGCTTTTTGACGAAGTTCAAATCACGTGTATTAATCCATACGGTACCAGTAACGACTTGTTAAGTTCTAACATTGATAACATGATTGCTATGTTAAAAATATTTTTAAATAACTAAAAATATGACACTATTATCACAAAAAAATTGAAAACCAACAGTAACTTAACATGTGTTATCTCAAGACTACCCTTAAAGACTAGAACAATTACGAGACGATTTCCTAATAACAGAGAGGTAAAACTGATTAGGTAGGTAGCTCTATGCCAGGTTAGGATTTTATCTGTCCAATATCAACAGTGAAGTTAGCTTAAACACATTTTTTTCAAATTTATATTCAACTGTTGTCAATTTTAACTGTAGGATATCGTCTAATGTCGTTTTTGTCCGTTTTAAAGGGGTTTAAACCCTTTCATTTAGCTAATGCTGGTTTAAAATCTTGGACAGGAGCTGTTAAATATGAAACTTACACTTATTACCCTAGGTAAGATGGAAAGTCCTGAGTTATTGTTACTTTTTAAGATATTTTATATAAAAAGGAATTAATTCTTGATCCAGTATAATTTAATGTAGCTTTTTGGGTAATCTTTAGCTTATCAGTTTAAATGATAATACTCTAGTTACTAACGAAAACTTTTATTTTATTTCATCGCAGCCTAAAAATTGTACAGTTCAACTCCCTTTCTCAATTTTTCACACTAAAGATGGGTCGTAGTGATTGGATTTTGGAATGGTCTGATGGAATTCATGGTTGTTGCACTTTTCATTTGGTGTGGAATGATTTTTGGCAGCTGCCCTTAAGTCAAAAGTTGAAAAAATTCATTGATGCATAATTTTGATTCAGAAGTTTTTTTAAAATAGTTATATAAACAATTTTTATTAATATATGTTCAAAAAGATTGAGTATTATTTATTTATTTTTTATGTTCTATGCTTTGTAGCTGTCATTTCTTAGTTTACAAATTATATATTGACTAACTCAAGTGAGAAACGACTTCCCTAGACCGCCCTGTATTTGTTATTATCATTATTTAACTTTAATTCTAATTTATTAAATTACATCATGAACATTTTGAAGTATCTACTCATGCTGTGAAGTATGTTTCTTCGATATTATTACTTACACAAAATAATATATACTTCTTTTTCTATAAAAATTATAGATACTTGTGATTTACGGTGTCGCCATGGAATCTAACTTCTTATCTCCGGTAACCTCTCCTTATCACTTGTCTCTGCTTAGTTATTCATTAAAAAGAAAAAATCATGAAGAAACAGTGCCCCCTGAATAATGGATGTTTAACGGAGTTTGTCAAGAAACAGACGAGTGTTTCATTGTAAAAATAAAAAAGACAGAAAAGCAACAACTGTATTAAAAATAATATAGAAGAGAGAACCACCGTAGAAGAGGAAAGGATGCAACTCCCAACAACTAAATGAAATCAACTACAACCATTTCCAGATGTATCACCGGTATAACTTTGTCGGTTCTTGAAGTGGGATCTATACTCAATTGATAGAACAATTACAGCGCTCAGCTAAGTTGAGGAATAAAAAACACCAAGGAACTCTTGAGGCAACTCCTCGATTCATATTTTTGTGGTGGCAGGTCCACAGAGAAGAGAACCTCTGTCTATTTTGTTTTCCAAAATAAATAAAATCTTGTAAAATAAAAATGTTTTGTTATTGTTAAAATTGTTTTTGTGTATTTGAATTTCCATTATCAGGTTATTATCAGTGTTCAGGTTATAAGCAATGGCAGATAGCAGTACATGGCAACCCGCAAAATCACAAGTACCAAAATTAAATAAAGTATCTTTCCTATTTAAACGCATACTTGAAAATGGATTTCATTTTTAAAATCTATTTATAGGCCTGGAGAAGAAAAGGATCCTCCATATGAGCCCACTAAACTTTTAATGGTTCAAAGAATAAGACCTTTCAGAGGTAATCCAAAAAATCACAAGAAGATTTTGTACCGGATAGGATTGGATGGAAAGGTATATTACTTTCATTTTGTTTTATACATACAGTCCTATCATGATTATCCAAATTGATAAAAAATAAAAATATGATTTTATTAGAACACACACAAGTGACTGGTAGAAAAACAAAATTTAATATTAGTGAAAAATATAAGAAAAGTAAATTAAAACTTCATTTTAAAAAATCTTTTTACTAAAAATATTAATCTGGTTACATTATTAAGTCTTTAGACAGAATTAAAATCATTTTCCCACTTTTTAATTTTTTCCTGCTTAAATTTTTGAAACAACTTCCTGTCCTACAGTTTCCTTTAACAATACTCCACTTATCCCTGTTGAGCAAATCCGATACCTAGGACTCCACCTGGACAAACGACTAACTTGGAATCCTCATACTAGACTGAAACGACAAGAAACCGCTCGACGTTTCCGATTACATCAGCACTTACTAGAAAAACGCTCTAAACTTCCCATTAATTACAAAAGACTCATATACTTGACTATAATAAGACCTATTTGGACTTACGGAGTTGAGCTATGGGGCTCCACTAAACCATCGAATTCCTCTCGCATCCAATCCTTACAATCCAAAATCCTTCATAAAATCCTCAATGCTCCTTACTTTGTCACTAATAAAATTATCCATAAAGATCTTAATGTTCCTTATGTTTCAGATCTGGCCCAATATAGATACCTATCCTTCCATAATAAACTTCAGAATCATCCCAACCCTCTCATTTCTAACCTTGCTTCCTCTTCAATTCCTGATAACTCTCCGAGGCGTCTGAAAAAAGATGGCCCTGTGATCTCCTAATGTAGTCATATCATTAAAGTGCTACCATTGGGTAGTTACTCAGCAAGTGTATTCATGTCATTATAACTATTATGTCCAAATTTACTTGATGTATTTATGTAATACAGTTGTAAATGTCATAAGAAATAAAAAAAAAAAAAAAAAAAAAAAAAAAAATTTGAAATCATAAATAAATCAGTCCTATCTAATATTAACTATTTTCAGAAATTTGACCAATCAAATTACTAAATGTTTAAGTATTGGTTGTGTGAATAAGTTTCTGCAGTTTTGTTTTCTAGAGAATTTTCGTTTACCTTCGTGCATCCGGCAACACTGAAGCCAACTTCAAGAGCTTATACTCAGCACTCAGATTATCAGTCTGTTTTAAATCCTTAAAGCGTATACAACATTGTTCATCTCTTCAAACATGGAAAATTTTGTTCCAAAAACTGATTTTTGCGGAATATTTTATAATACCATTTTTTTAAAAAGAAAACTGCAGCTGAAGATCATAGAAGCAATTATGCTCTATCTGAAAGAACATACAGAGAATGATTTATATGTTTTAATAACAATGATTATGATCTTTGAGATAATGACCAGACACTACCTAAAATAAAGAGCTACGTTAGCCCCAAAACCATCACAGGAGATCTCTATAGACTACAACTGATGTGTTTTAGTCAAGCCCTGAAGCAAAAGCGCCCGCAACCTGATCAGAGACACGATAATTTTTTTTTTTCTTTTTGGGAGGTCTTATGTTGCAAACGCGGTTAAACTTTATTTTGAAATGAGAGATTCTGACCCACAGCCTGGCTTCCATTCTTATGACAAAACTAAAAAATGGATCGATGACTTGATTTCCTCAAAAGGCATTTCTTTTATGTTACTTGAAAGATAAGAGAAAGTAGTGGCTAGCGATGGACAATAATTTGAATGATCTGCGTCTGACCATTTTTTATAAATAATATTTTAATTTTTATCAAAAACAGGCGGGAACTTATTCACACACTGATCCTGAAAAAGTTAATTTATAACAAATTTTGTTTACTTCCTAAGGATTCAATTTGGTTTCATATAACTCAATTTATTTTAAATAAATTTATTGAAATGGTCTTATGGAACATTTCAAAGAGATTATCAGTTTTCTTAAAATTTAGATTATATTTAAATATTTTTGGTTGTTTTATTTTTAGTGTGGAGAAATCGCTATTGTAAAAAATATTCCAGAAATTTGTAGCATGCTATACAAGATTAAACATATTATAAAAGTAACACCAATCAGGACACCCAATGGCCTTCCTGAATCTGACGATCTCGGTGCCGGTTATCTGAAACCCAACGGAGAGTTTATCGTTTCAAAGAGGCTCAATCCTGATCCAGAAAGACTGCGGCTAACAGAAGAATTTCAAACTGACCCGGCCAGGCTTGATGCTGATACATTAATTAAAGATACCAGAATGAAATGGATTAATCCATGGAATTAGTTTGTTAAGTATTTGTAAATAAATGTTTTGTCATTTTTTAATAGTAAATATATTTTTAACATAATTATTGTTAAAACATATTAACCCCTATTCTCTGGCTGAAATTAAAAACAAAAAATTTAATTGTTATGAAAAAGCCTAACGAAATCAATTATAGTTTCACTCATGCATAATAAAAGTCTATCATTTTAGGTAAAATAATATATGATAATTTTGAGTATCATTCCTAGCAAGGCTATGAATCAATGGCAAAATTTTATGTCACAGGGATCATCCTGTGACATCAGTTCCAAAAAGAAAACAACACTGAAAATTATTTCACAATGGTTTATTCTTTCCAAACAATTATACATCTAAAGTAACATTACTTTCCTAGTTACAAAGAAAAATAAATAAAAGGTGATTCCAATTATTGGACTAAACTTTTTTTTTAATCATTAGTAATATGCTAAAAAAAATAGCATTACTTCAGTAACACATTCAAAATTTAAAAACCAAACAAACGATATAACATTTGGAGTAGAACATATAAAAAAAAACGGAGACCATATCTTTGCTCCTAATTGTCCGATTTTTTTTTTTGTTTTTAGGAAATTTCGTAAACTTTTAAAAAACAATACAATATCGACAAAAAGTGTATACTTTTTGAGTTATTCGGAATTAAATTTTACCATCCCTCGTAACTTTTTTTCCAGCTTCTTTTCGTTGAAGTATGTTATATAGATAAATTTAAAGGGCGTAGAGAAAATGACTTTAGCGAAGTTTCATTGAAATCGGTACATTCGTTTAGGCGCTACAGTCTGTAGCAATGCAGATTTTTCGGCCGTCATTTTGAAAGTAAAAGGCGGATAATAATGTCGTTGAAGGAGGATCATCCTTGGGAGACCTCTAATTTTAAATCCAAATTTGAAAAAAATCCATCCAATAGTTTCGGAGAAAATGCGCAAACGACGGATACGCAAACAAATTTTTATTCGTTTTTCGAATTCTACGCATCCTGAAACGTGAAACCTCAAATTTTGAGGTTTAAGTTTTTGAATTTTTTGGTCGATCACAATGGTTCATTATTGAAAATAACAAACCAAAAGAAAAAAAAGCCTAATGTTTTTTTTATTTTTCTTGAAAAGTAAGATTTCTAATCTTGTTCTTTTCTTTATTTTTTGGTCAGATAAAAAATTTCATTTTTAAAATTATAAACAAAATTGTATTTTCTAACTGAGCATTTAGATGTCAACTTATTTAGATATCCTAATTTAAGTAATACCAAATGATTCCCTTAGATACCAAAAAATTAATTACTCAAGCTAAAGGTATTTCGCTGATACTGCCCACAGCAGCGACTGCTGCCAGTTGAGCACTGCGTTAGTAGAATAAATAGGAAAGAATATTTTTCATTGGCACTGCTCGATAGTCTAGGCATGATGTCATTTCCATACTGCCCACTGCTCCCAAAGTAGTGAAGCTGTTGGCAGTACAACGATTCTAGGTTATGTTATCATATCGGAGAATAATTTTGATAATAACAGTCACATTTAACTTCTTTTTCTTATTGAGCTAAAATTACATAAAAAATTGAGAAGGAGTTAATTGGGGGGTGCGGTAAAATAAATACTAAATTAAAATATAGTAATTATTTAATTTTTGCTGACGTTAAGACCCACTTTGCAGGTCGTCTTCAGGGCTACAAAAGATACAAAACATGCTGAAAATAAAATAAATGAATATAAGTAGATATAAAATAAGAAGAAGTTGTCAGATACAGAAATAAAAAGATGATATCAGAGATATAGTGGGTGACAGTGTAGTTAAAATATTAAGTATTATATATGTAGAAGATACAAACAAATGGAAAATAAGTATGAATAAAAATAAAAATAAAGGAGAATATAGCATGTAAGTTAAAAGTAAACAGATTGCGATAAAACATAAGGAATAAGTATATCTTTTATTGCAATCTGTTTACTTTTAACTTACATGCTATACTCTCCTTTATTTTAATTTTTATTCATACTTATTTTCCATTTGTTTGTATCTTCTACATATATAATACTTGATATTTTAACTACACTATCACCCACTATATCTCTGATATCATCTTTTTATTTCTGTGTCTGACAACTTCTTATTTTATATCTACTTATATTCATTTATTTTATTTTCAGCATGTTTTGTATCTTTTGTAGCCCTGAAGACGACCTGCAAAGTGGGTCTTAACGTCAGCAAAAATTAAATAATTACTATATTTTAATTTAGTATTTATTTGACCGCATCCCCTGATTAACTCCTTCTCATATTATATCAACGGTCAACCATCTCTACATCATACATAAAAAATTGTTAAAATTAAAAAAAAAAACTATAGGAAAACATTTTGGTAGGATTAATGTAATAACCATATTTTATTGAGGGATTCAAATATCTCTATATCCAAACATTAAGAAATCAATTTGTCTTTTTTTTTACTTTCACTTATATATATATGTAATATCTCTGTAGGGAAAGTATTGAGATTGTGAACATTTTCGAATCTGAGTTTTTAGGTCCCGCAACCGAAATAGATGTTTTTAGGTCCCCGGAATATATGTGAACAATCTAGCTCAAAAACGATAAGTCCCATGCAACTGAAATTGTGTATTTAGGGTTTCTACATTCCAGGAATGTTATAGCAATTTTTTCGACATAATCTGCTAACTAAAAGTGCCACTCGATATAATTGATTTTACATATTTTTACGACAACGGCCCTAACGATTTTGATTAAACTCATTGTATCGATATATTATAAAGTGATTTTTAGTTTAAGGTAGATCCAATTCTCATTGATGTTCTCTAACAGAGCTTAAATGCCGAATTTTCAAAATTTCTTCATCTAAAGTACCTTTAATTTTGTTTATTTAAGGTATATATATATATTAGAACTACTAATATAAAATAGATAAATGCAATTTATGAACGAATTCAATAAATAACTAAAGGAGAAATAAGGGTTAGTACTCTTGGATAGATGGATCCAATAGAAACTGTTTAAGCGTAAATAGCCAACTTTTCCTGATACCCCTCCATTTAAAATTATTCACGTCTGCATAAAGCTGTTCTATTGTTAGTTTAATTGATAAAATTAGTTTCTTCTACTCCTAATTTTTAAAAAGATTTTCATGCTAAATGGTGAGGCTATATATCTACTAATATTAACTCTTTTTTTAAAAAACATTTTAGGTAAAGCTCAGAATTTTGACTAAAAATCCACTTTTACTTTTTTTATGACGTGATTTTAAACAAAATCCTATTTTACCAGGATTTACTTTTAGTTCTTAGTGATAATAAAATGATTTAAACTAGGATGCATAAAGCAACAGGAGTTGGTGAATCGTTTCAGCGAAATACACAAGAATTAACGGTTGGCAGTCACTGCCTTGTGCAGTGCTGGTGAAATACTACCTAAAGTGAGCCTTATTATTAAGCATACTTAATTCATTCCTTCTGGTAATATTACCGTTTATGGCAACTTTTTAGTTTATTAAATATATTATTGACAAAATAATTAAGCCGATAACTAACATTTTATTTTCAGAAAAACAATTCAGATAATTAATATCAAAATAATATTTATAATCATAATATGCATCATTTACAATATTATAAATTTTAAAACAATTCAACACTACCCTAATCTATAGTTGAAAATAGAATTAATAACAATATTTTTTTTAAAGGAATGAGATGGTCCGGAGTGGCGGTCATAAAAAGGCTAAATAGTGGTAAAACTATTTTTATTAAAAGCCGACGTTTCGACTTTATAGGTCTTCTTCAGGGAGGTGTGTTCAGCTAGGAGTTTAAATCGGCTTTTAATAAAAGTAGTTTTGCCACTATTTAGCCTTTTTATGACCGCCACCCCGGACCATCTCCTTCCTTTATAATGCAACTGTCAACTATTAAATATTCAATATTTTTTTTAAATTCTTAAAACCAAAGGAACTTACATTAATTAAGAGATAAATAAATTGAAGTAAATTGTTTACTTAGATATATAAATATCTTTCAACTGTTTTTATTGATGTGAAATAGATGCAATAGAGCCGCATCCAGATAACTGCAAAGAAATAATCCAAGGCAGGTATATTCAGGCGGCTATGGACCTAAAAAGTTTATAAAAACAAAAGACAAAATAAAAAAATCGAAACCATCACAATTTGACCAAAGTAGGTAATTAACCTGAAAAATAATTTGCCCTTCTAGCTCAGACCACATAGGGATGTTAAACTAATTTGTTATTTCAATATTTCAATATAAATATTTATGTAAAAATTATGTTTATTTTTTTTTAAATAACCGATTCAATTGAACATAATATGCAATTTCCTTTGGCTGGATATAATAAAAGACAAATATGGAAATATCAATACAAAATATGATACACTTATAACATATTTCATTGAATAAAAAATAAAAAGAATACAGTTACAATATAATGACAATTACTATTGTATCTAATTAATATTCTTTTATACTAAATAAGGCCAAAAGATAAAGCTCGGTTGATCGACGTATAATAATATTCAAAAATCTAATTCAATAATGGTTTTAAAGTACCTAACAAATATTTTATTGTCGAAAAAATTCCTCTAAAATGTTAGAATGATATAAATAGTGTAGCAAACATATATTTATAAATATATCTTTAAATTTCATTTTATGAAAAAGTAAAATCACAGTTAAATTCATGATATATAAATGCAACAATTTCAATATTATAACAACATTAAGTAATACAAACAGCTTTGGTTAAACAGTAAATTATCTAAATACTGCTTCTTGGTAATATCTATTATAACAATTGAAATTCTTAAAACATATTTGTAATTAATAAATATCTAATCATGCAATGCTATATCAATCGTTATAAATACTATCCACTATGAAAGTTATTAAATAATATCAGAATATTAATCACTTTGGCCTCTACCTACATAATTTTATCAAATCAGCAGTGAATGAAAATTATTTATACTTAGAACACATATTGATAAACATAAACTTCACTTCTTTTTTACTTTCACTTACGTATATATGCAATATATAGTAAGGGTAAGTATTGTTTTCATTAATATAAATAGTATTTATTTTTTAATCGATAGCAGTAATATAATCTAATAGCATCGAAAGAATTATTCCTTCTTTTCAACAATAGAGCTAAGTCCTTTTTTTGTTTCTGTCAGGGTAAAATGAAATCAATGTATTGACCATTATTTAGTATGATCTGTTCCCATCTTTCCACTAACTGTGTAATGACATGTTTATAAAGCATCTGGGGTTCATTGTCAAAAATTGATCTAACTGATTTTTGATGTACCGTTCATTTTGAAATTTTGTTTAATTCATGACATTCTGCAGACCAAAATAGTTGGTAGTTGCTTGGAGCTGGGTCTGGTGAATAGAGAAGTAACCAGGAAATGCATGTTTTCAAGTTGACTTTACAAAGTTCATTTCAATTAATTTTGATGGACCAGAGCATGGAGTGTCATAGATGTCAAAATTTCCTGAACGAAATTTGGCAAACCAATTTTAACATGTGTATTCATTCGGTTAAGGCATTGTCCCCATAAACATTTCAATTTTTTTTTTTTATCAACTTCTGCAGCACACTTATCTTTTCAAAATAATAGACTGAATAAAAAAAAAAATTACTGTTTCATTGAATGCATAAATCCTAAGAACTGCAAACATGTTAATTTTATTTATTGTTTACCAAAAATGTATGATCTATTGAACACTAATCTAAGCATATTTGTCAACAACAAACTGGCTCAATAACGTACTAATTAAAAAGTTTTTGTTGAAAAAAATCTTGTTCAGCTGTCAAAGCGGCTCGTGAAACCAACAAAACTAAGGTGTCCTTTAAGAGCGAACCATGTGGTGTTGGTCTCAAAATTGTCTAATAATGATACATCCTTAGAAAAGAAGAAAGGGTCAGGGCGACCATCACTGGAGATTGATGAGGTTCTTCAGCAAGCTGTAGGATCAAATCCATCCACAAGTACTCGTGATCTTGCCAAGAAGTGTGGAGTGTAAAGACATTGTGTGTTGCCATCTATTAGTCAACTTCTGTTCCAGCAAGACAATACTTCTTGACAGACCAAGAAAATATTTAAAAATCTTGTTGGTATCAAACTTCTTCCACACTCACCATACAGTCCAAATCTTATTCCATCAGATTTTTATTTGTTTTGATTCATGGCCTACATCTTGAAAGAAACAATTGCCACAAACAGTCCATCCAAAATCCTATGATTCAATTCGGCAAAGGGTGAGGATGGTAGTGAAGGAGGAAACAAAAAATATGCACAAAGACAAGGTGGAAGGGAGACGTTATGGATGTTTGGTGGAAAACCCAATCCCAGCAGACCTACCAAGAAGAGATGCAGTAGCCTGCTTCCGCCTGGCCAATGGTTACGACTATCTGCAGAGTCATCTTCACAAGATAGGTGTGGCTGAGGATCCTAGGTGTAAATTGTGTGAACAAACGGATATTAAGAATCAAACATATGAAAATGATTATATAAAAAAATCAAACTTATATTGGGCAGCAAGATGTCGGATGGTTGAATGGCCAATGACTATGGCATAGGAAAAAAAAAATCTTGAAAGAAACAAAAGTTAATATTTTTGACAAAGTCGAAACAGTGATACCTGCATGGGATCAAGCAACTGGCCATAATATGGGAAAGGACAGTGCACAACAATGAGTTATATTTTGAATATTAATTTTATGTTACATTAAAGAAAAATATATATTAATTTTTTGTTGAAAAACAGTAATTTTTTTTTATACAGCGAAATATGATGACAATGAATGATATTTTCTTCAAGTTCTACTATAGAAAACATATTAATAATCTTATTATAACAAGAGTTTACAGAAATGGTTCGTGATATATTAAAAATAAACAGAAAAACCAAAAGGACTTATTGTCAATCGAATAGATCTAAGAAGTGAGATGGCCAAGTGGGAACTTGAAAAATTGCAAAGAATATCACAGCTTTAAGTCTCATAAATAGCAGAAAATAATTCCAAAATTCAACCAAATTTCCAAAAAGGAATTCAATTCTTTTTAAGATCCGAGCTTTTCTGAAGATGAAATTCTCAAACTTGTCATTGGAAGAATTATGTATAATAGAAGCCAAGAGAGATATTTTCATAAAAAATTAATTAGATTTGTCCTTATATTGACAACCCCCAAAAAATGGAATATATAAAACCATTTATCAACAAGTTATACTCAATAAATTCATTATTTAGATTTCCTATAGCATATACTCGTCAATTTGACCACAACATTTAACAACTCAAGTACCTTATTAGAGTACAAAAATAATGTAGAAAAAGAAAAAAAAAAATTCTAAAGATTATATGCTAAATCTACATAAAACATTACTTTAAAAATAACTTACATCTAGAGCTATGTTTTACAAAAACTTGATATATTTAAATCCGTCCTCGTATTTCAATATAATTTAAAGCATCTGATAAAACTGGTGACAAAAATCACCGTAAGTATAGAAAATATTATGACAAGGAAAAATTTTCTAAATATTTAATAACAGTTTGCTTACAAGCATAACATATAAGTTTAGAAAACACACAAAATAACTATCTTCTGAAAGAAATATGAAAACATAACATAAACAAAACAAAATAGTTTAAGACACCTATAATATCTAAATCTATTATAAAATGCTTGTAAGTTTTTGAACTATATAAAATAATTTTATCAATTATGAGATAATATATATATGTAATCATTAAAATTACTACTATAAAAGTAAGGATATATAATAATTTAATAATCTAAATAGAAATAGATAATAGATATAATGTTTGGTAATTTTATAACAAAATGAAACTTTTTATCATATATAGAGAAACCTCTTTTAACAAATACAAGTTCAAGCTCAACAAATACTAAAGTAGTTCTTCTAACACAAGACTAACAACACTAAATGTAAAAATGAATGAATGAAATAAAATTAATAAATTATTCCTAAAACATGTCATTAACTGTTATAATATCAATGTTATATCTTAGAACAAGTGGCTTTTCAGAGGAGTTATTTTAAAGTTTAATAACATAATAAAATTTATTATAAATAAATATTAAGCCCCCAATTGAACTTTTTGTTAATAAATATTTTAGATAGATCCTATAAAATAAAACAGAGTAAATATTTCATAATGTACTAAAGACAACTTCTCTTATCTAGCTGCTAAATATTGAATTGAAGATATGAGATATTGCAGGTATATAAAACTCTTTTTCGGCATTCTGAAAACTAAAAATTGCTCATTTTTGAGGTATTTAATTGTTTAAAGGATACTCTCAAGAAAAATATTAAAACAACTCTGAAGCAATTAAATTAACAAAATAGAAACAGTCATAAAAATATATTCAATGGAAGACAGAAGAGAAGCAAAACAGCTAAACATAGAATAAATCAAGCGTTGAAGATAGCTCTCGCTGTAAATACAAAACAGAAAATCAAAACACGTAGCACGTCCTTTAAGACATACCCTGAACTGGAGGACATCAGGAAGCAGATTTAGCCAAACCTCACCAACTTGACGACGGAGTACTAAGGTGTGGTTTACGGGAAGTCTAGAAAAATATAATTGCATAATAAGGCAGATGAAAAATAACCTTCTAAATAACTACCACCAAACACCTAGGATTCACAGACCGATTAAAACTGACAAAGATAATCCCATGTCGACCAATAATTGACAGAAAAAAATAGGAAATTATCGCTCTTGACATCTCTCCGAAGCTAGTCTGCCTTGTCAGAATGACCTTGAAGTTTACTTAGTGTACGGCGAGAGTGTCTGCAGATACTTCTAAGTGTTTCCATAGCAACAAGGGACTCGGACAAGGTGATTGTTTAGCATGCCTGCTGTTTAATGTTGCGTTGGAATGTGCGATATGAGTTGGGAATCCAAATAGGGGAGACAATTTTCAACAAATCATGTCGAATTCTACCCTATTCTGATGATTTAGATGCCATAGGATAAAGTTTTCTGAGTATGGAGAGCGCCTTCCTAAATCTGCAAAAGCAGCTGTTGAATTTGGATTGCAGGTGAACGAGTCCAAAACAAAGTATATGCTCTGCAATCCTAAAAGAGGAGAATATCTAAGAGGAAGAGAAAAAATCGTAGACTTCAACTTCGAATCTGTTGAGAAATTCATTTATCTTGGGAAAATGTTGAACTCAACCAATAATATGCAACCAGAGATTCAGCGGTGGATCATGGCAGCTAATAGATGCTATTTTGGAGGAGGGGTGGCCAAATGGGCTAACGCATGTGTACAGCACCGCGAGTTGCCCTGAATATGAGATTGAAAAAAGTACGAGTTCGCATCCCAGTGCCAGAGGGGATTTTAAATTCCTCACTCTCACCCTCCAGACCAGGAAAATCCCGTATAGCCTAAAAGGTGAGGTAGGGAAGAACAGAAAAAAAAAAAAAAAGCTATTATGGGCTACAGAAGCATCTAAAAAGACAGGTTTCGTATCTAAAAGAACTGTCCCTATCTATTCATCTGAGTGCTTGACGACGACGAAAGCACTAGAATAGAAATTTAGAGAAGGATTATGGGCCTATATGTATCACAGGTGTACGGAGATCGAGGAAAAACACCAAGCTGATCACTATAATGGTCTTGATACCATTCATTTAATAAAGGCTGGACATTTAAGATGACTAGGGCATGTTGCAAGCATGAATAATAAGTCCCCAAATTTCTCCTAGAAGAAAAAATATTCGGCCGTAGGAGAGTTGGAAGACCTCGCCTGCATTGGATGGATTGCGTAACAGAAGATGCTCAGAAGCAGTTGGGAATAAGAAATTGGAAGCCAGCAGCACAGAACAGAGAAGATGGCGGCCCCGACTGAGGGAAGCCTCGACTTTACAATGAGTTGTAGAGCTATCGAAGAAGAAGAAAATAGGAAATAATACTTAATTACACCATTTCAACACTTGATTAGAGATGGCACAACCTAAGGCTTTGATATAGGTGAAGAAAAATCTGTTAATCAACTATTTTACTAGACCAATTGTCAAGATTGATAATGGTTAATGGTTTAGAACTTAGTTTTGATAAAATAAAGTCTCGATAATCTGACCGTTTGCTATTCCGATAACTTCTACCATACATCACTAATGCATTATTTTTTGCTATTTGCGACTACAGTGAGTTATATGTGCAGTCGGCATGTGAGCGATGTCACAAAAACGAAAACATGTCATATCAACATTGAATAAATATATTATATTATAAAATTAAGATCTATTGAATGGAAGCATTACTATAGTTTATGGCACAATATATCCTACTAAGAGGTTTCACTATATAACAAATAAAATAAATTATAAAGGCAGAAATTAAAAATTATCATTAACTAAATAAAATAAAAAATAATTTACATACTTTTAACTAATTTTTGGTAGTTATGAATGGTAAATAAATAAATAACATTCAGTTTAAAGCAATCGCTTGACATATTAACTAAATAATATGATTTAATTTGGTATAATCGGTTAGATGGTCGCTTCTACATTCTGAATTATGTTGCATAATTCTATTTTTGATGGTATGAAATAAAAGCAAGGTACCATTCTGGCTTTGCAGACGCAATAAGTACCTGAAAAATGAAATAACAATAATTTCAAGGTATAACAATATATTTATAGTAAAGAAATGAAAATAAAAATAAACCTATACCACTACAACCCATGTCTTGGGTTCAGTACTACTTAGGGAAAGCACTGTTTCTTGGTCTTGAGGTGTGAGGAGGTGATTTCACCGAGATCACGCTCAACCCTCAGGCTTTTCCCCTTAATTAATTATTTTGATTAAGGGTACCCACTTTAAAGAGGCTGAGTGTGCTCCAGAAGGCAATATCGACCCAGGGTTGCCCCACGGCCAATGAAATAGAATAAATAATTTTTCTGCTATTAGTCGGGATTCGAGGACCTTTAGAATTAGAAGCTCAGTACCCTACCTCTGAGCTACCTCACTCCCTCAATATATTTATAGTACGGGGTATAAAATTAATGTTGTCTGAAACTGAGGAAATGGTGGCTAATTGTAACAGATAAATCAATTTGAGCTATGGTCCCATTTTTTTATTGAATAGGAAGCGATAGTAAACCAGAAAAAAATTTCCACAGCAAAAAGCATAATTTCCTTTATTTAAAACTATATAGTCATCCCTTATACTACTAAAACTATATAGGCTTCCCAATCCCGGACCATCTCAAGAAGTGATGAAAATATTCTTTTAATATTTTTTTTATAAATTATTATTATTGAAATTTAATCTTTAAATAAGATTTTCTAAAGAAAAATCTTACGGCGAATAGTTGGCCCAGTAAGTGATGGAGGATAAGGAGCTTTATGACATTTATGGGGATATGGACGTTGTAAAGTTTATAAAAATGGGGAGGCTCAGTTGGGCTGGTCATGTCGCAAGGATGAAAGCGGAAGAAATTCCTAGAAAAGTAGTGAACACCGCTCTTCACGGTATACGACAGCCTGGTAGGCCAAGACTTTGATAGGTCGATGGATCGGCAGCGGACGCATGGAGCCTGCTACGGATCAGAAGCTGGAAAACAGCAGCACAAAATCGGGCCAAATGGCGGCAGCTCATTGAGGAGGCCAAGACCCACTCAGGGTTGTAGCGCCACATAGATAGATAGATAGATATAGTCATCCCATAAGTAATGTCAGGATTTAAATGCTTGAAATATGAGGTTGAGGGAGAGAGAGGGTAGGATAAAACCAGTTTTCACAGGATACAACACTTTCAATCTATAATGCATTTACCATTTTGTTCTGTAACACTTTACCATCTTGAAACCAAACTCAAAACTTTTTAAGTCCACCTTTTTTTCTGGACATTTTGCTCAAGTTATCTTAAGATTCAAGTGGAAAGCAAATGTGTATTCATGAGTTTTTAGTACCTAATTCAATAGACAAAGTTTGCTGATAGATTGAAAACACCACAATTCTGAGACTTTTCGTAAATAAAATATTTGTAGGCAACGATGAAATGAAGCTATTTATGAAGTTTTAGGCAGATGTTCAAAAAGGGGTCTGTACCATGGACTATATGGATAGTTTCAGAAGTGTCATTTATCAAGGTAAAAGGCATAGAAAACTTTACTAGACTTCGTGAAATAAATTGAATATTGTACTAATATTAATATTAAAATAATATTATTATCTTTAAGATGTACTGCCATAGAGTATGGAAATTTAAGATTTCTAAATTAAAATATTTGAAAATAGCTTATAAGGCCGAGATATTAACAAATTGAATTAAAACATTTTTTCTTGTAAAAAAAGTTTTTTATTCATTAAATTTATTAGTGGGAGTATTTGTGGTCTTTCAAATCTTAATCTATTATTGATTAAATATAAAAAAATTAAATTCTAGTAAATTTTCTATTGATTGATGAAAAAATTATATAATTTTTCATCATATTCCCAACAAAAATTAGGGAAAATCTTAGCGAGTAACTGTGCTACACACTTTTTTTAAAAATTATATTTTTAATGCTATGATAATATAAAATAAACTAATAAATTATAATAGCTCACCCATGACCCAATTAAAAGAGCCAAGTTTGCATTGGCATTTAGGACAGTAAAGTTTTCCTTCGACTGAATTCAATTTCATCCATGCGAGTGGCTCACAAAAGAGATATTCTTTGCAAACAACGTTTTCGGAATGGTTTGAAAACGATTGAGGATTTGTCCAGGTCACTTTTTTCCCGGCAACATGGGGAATGATATTTGATTTGTTAGCGATGATTCTCCTAAAAACAAAAAAAATTAATAAAGAGTTCTAGGTTTTTAAAAATAAATTTTCTTTTCTAGTCTCTCAGTAACTATTGAACTGATATAGAAAAGGGTATTTTAACATTTTTAAAAATCTCTTAAATATAATAAATTTTATAACAATGAATTAAAATAATGGATGCAAATAGGTATGACGAGTATGACAACTAAGCTGTTATAAGAAGACATGTGTTTTTACAGAAGAAATGCAGTAAACTAGGATATGGTAGTTTAATATACATTTTGTATTTCAATATACATGAGTGTTTTTAGTTATATAAATGATTCTACAAAGAATTATGCAATTAAGTTTTTAAAAAAATATTGTAAATAACTGTAATATAAAAAATTGGGTGCTTTTCGTCTAGCTGGCCGGCACGAAACCTCACTTCTTATCTAATGTCACGTCACATAACCTCCCTCTTCTTATCCCCCGCCAAACCTTTGAGTTATTGCATTATTTAATTTTCAGTTATTCCCTTATTACGTTCACATATTAAATTCTTTACTTTTGGCCCGTTAGTGTTTATTTTTCATTATTTTTAGTTTTTGGCCTGTTTGTGTTTATTTTTCATTTTTTTTTTTAGTTTGTGGCCCCTTTTGTGTTTATTTTTCATTTTTTTTCCGTTTATTTTCGTCATATTATGAATCTTCTTAGAATATGGGATTTGCCGTCTTCAGAAGAACAGGCAATTCAATATTTTCAAAATGTTGGGATACTTGCAGACATGAAATTAAAGACAATATAGAAGAGGGAACGATCATTTATTCGGACAACTGAGCGAGGCAAGATTTGCCGATCCTCACTATTTTAAATAGCATAAAACAATGTTGCCTTCCAAAATAAATAAGACAAAGTGAAAATAAATTGTACATATGTTGTTTATAGTTTTGATATTTTTTCTTTTCTATGTAAATATGTTCTTCAAGTGTTTTTTTATTATTTCATTTTGATGTTTTATATGTACATATCTTCTTAAAGTGTTTTCTTATTATTTTATTAATATATGTGTCGTAAAATAAAAGTATTTTTTTTGGAATTACATTTGTTTTTGTATATGTTTACACTTTCAATAATACAAATTTAATACAATAATACGAAGATAGAAAGTAGGAGAGGGCTTATCACTGTATAATCGGAATTATCAGTGTTCAGGTTATAAACATTGGCAGATAGCAGTCAGTGCCGGCCTGCTAGTCAAAAAGTACCAAAAATTGTTTTTAGAATTGAAAATTGCTCAATGAGCCGGAACATCGTCATTCCAAAATAAGGATTGGCAATAAAAACATTATTGGTGTATTATTGGCTTAATGAAATATAAACTGAACTATATTACAATATAATAAATAAACAGAATTGCTAAAGTTGACTATAACATCAATTTAGTTCAATACAAGAATATAATGTCACGTTTTGTATTTTTCACGTTGTTGTTGCTCTGCACAGTATTTTTTCGAATTAATACTTCATGATTAATTTTCCAATAGTAGGTATTATTAAACTAAAAACAGTAATGAATCGATACCTGCAATGGTAACATTTATAAACGAGAGGGTCCGGCTTAGCGGTCACTAGAGCTGGGTCTGGCTTGATGACGTCATTACAGTCTGTTGGCAAGATCTTGACTAAAATAAAAAAATATATTAATCTTAGTTCAATGAAATATTATCCTCAAAGTTGATTCAATATACAAAATTATCACAAAAAGAAAATTATTTAAAAAAAAAAAGACAATAAGAGTGAATGAAAACAATATAAAGAGATGATTAAAATTTGTATTGATTTTATGTAGTACAACGTCCAGCGAAGGGAAGGCTTCCCGCGTTCTTTAGAAGTGGCTTTATCTTACTTCCCGACGGCAATTCCTTTTTTATTGTTTTCCTATTACAAGTCCTCAGAACCAAAAACCCTCCCTAAATCCTAGAACTCATTACTCTACCACGGTGGCTATCAGACAGTTAAAGTAAAATTCTCTGACTTTTCTCTATTTAATGATAGTTTTTCCTGAACAATATGTCTGGGGACACAAATATTAAAAATGTATAATTTAAAACTAAATTTATTTATTATACATGAAAGAAAAAATGACTTGAGTAAAAAGAAATTCAGTCTTTTAAATAACAAATACAATGTTTTAGAGGAAGCATTTTTTAAACTTGATTAGGATTATTTATTTTAGAAAACTAAACTTTTAGTAATCTACTTTTATCGCTTTTATTTTATTTCATAAACTGAGAGGAAGTAAAAATTGAGACTTGGTGTATAAAGTTCTGATTTTCTCTATTATAAAATAAAGTGAGCTACGGAGGATTCTAATATTAATCTAGTTTCTCATGAGTAATTTAGTTTCTCTATTACTATAAACAGCATAATAATTATCCATATCATCAGCATCAAGTTAAAGTAGTGAATATGCAATGTTAAACAGGCTCAAAATCGATACTTTAACATGGTGACGATGATATAAAACCAACAGTGACATTTCTTTAAGGAACACCACAGGTTGAAAGAATGAGTGCTTACCAGCCAGATCTTGACCCAGATGTTTAAATTACAAATAGTAAATAGTATTGGTATGTTTTTATTTTCTAAAACACACTATTTTAATTCTATTTTGCTTAAATTTTATTCATTACCTTTGTTTGATTTCAATATAACGACCAGTGCCGTTATTGAAAGTCAAAGGTGGATGAATATAACGACTAAGTTTACTCCTTTAAGATCATTATAAATGATATTCACTATACATTTATTTCCAATTAAAAAAAAAAATAAATTATGTACTAAAAAAATTCTCTGACTTCAACAATTTTTCCCCGTTTTGAAAATTCCCTGACTTTCCCATTTTTCCAGGTCAGTTGCCACCCTGTCTTCGCTCCTTTAACCATTCTCTCAATATCAGAGGAACTTATAGATTTATATATACCCTCTCACAAAACTACTTCCTTCAGGAAATCCTTCGGCATTCATGCACCCTACTTTCAGAACTCTGCCTACCTCCATACGTCAATCCTTGTCCACAAATTCCTCAAACAACTTGTAGTAGACATCCCCCGGTATTTACTCCTTTATGTGACATTGGGTGAGGGAATGAGAAGGAATATATAATACATAGGAATGTGAGGTTGCACTGTGAATTGTACTCAATTGTGCAGTGGACAAATTGTTCATTGTAAAATCTCATATCGATAAACAATCGATAAAGAAGGAAAAAGGTCCGGTCAGGTAGCAACAGCTGGGAGACGACGCCAGGCACTGGAGGCTGGACACTGTGGTGGAACACATACCTGGGAAGAGAGTCTACTACAAGATTTAGAAGATCAAGTCTATAGTTATAACACTTTAATAGAGTCAATTTATTACAGTTGTAGAAATAAATCATTTTGTTATACAGGAGTGAAAAGTCATTTATTTATTTAGTTGTCCTATATACCTCACGAATGAAGAATAACAAACCAGGTGAGTCAATTCATTCAAAGTGTATTTACTAAGTCCGACATTTCAAATATATATTCTTATTGTTTCTTCTCACTCAGTGTTACAAAAGGTATTAGATTCCCGAATTCCCAACAACAGTTAAACGCCCTCAAAAAGTCTATATCCAGTGCCGAGGTTTTGCTTTAATTATCTCGAGTGTAAATAACCTAGTTCCCCGATATAAAAGCAGAAGGCTATCCGCCTATTCCCGCCAAAACATATCATTTACAATTAACTTTTAGTAGGTTATTTACAAACTCCTATTCCGCCACCTACTTCATATTCAAACATTCCCAAACATGTAAAATCTATTTGCCTCTGTACACTGTATAATTCAATGAACAATTAATTAAGCATCATTTTGTAAACTCTAAGCAAGACTAATGTTCATACCTATGAAACTCTGTAATTATTCTTAAGGGACAGTAGTCCCAGAATAAAACTATTTTTTTTATTTCACTCATTCATTATATTGTACATTCGTGTATTACTAAATTGAAGTTGTAAATATATACTTTATATAATATAGTATTTCAGATCTCCACCTATTTATATCCCCACTCAGAATCCATTTTAAGCAACTCTGTTTTTTGGAGATCTGAAATAACGACAGGAGGCTACCCTACACTTCACAATCGTACATCATTTGTTCCTTAGTATTGTCTCGTAAATTGGCATCGTTGTTTTTGGTTTTAGTCTTGAAGTCCTGTTGATGACAGGATATAACATCGGCTAGTGTAGGTTTGAGTTAGTTTAGTGTTAATTTGGTGCTCCAGGTAAGACGATGATCTAGAGATACTTTACTGCTTGTAATCTCTTAAATGTGTAAAGTCGAGAAAATTATTTATGAAATGAGTGTTCAATATGGCCGCTAGCACTCTCGATTTTAACACAGCCTAGGGACTTGTAAAGTGTTTCTAATTTCCTAAACGAGGAAATGGTTATTGTAAGATTTTGATGTGTTTGTGTAAAATTTCCACAGAAATGGAATATAAAGACAGCTAGGATTTCATCTATATATTCATCAAGTTATTTCCCATCCGAATCTTCATTCATGCTTTTTTAACCAAACAATCCAGCAATTCAGTATTTTCATTTCGCTTTGGCATTTTAAAAATAAATCAAAATGTTAGTAGATCAATTAAGAACTCACAAACTTTGTTTTAAGTATAGGCATAACCTTACTATATGAATAACACTTTGCACAGACAGGTTATTTACAATTCATTAAAAATTTGTGCTGACTGCTTAGCATGGTAGCACATTAGGCATTTACAAAAAGTGCATGGACACCTCTACTCAAAGAACCGTTCGAGCATGGTTTGGCATTTTACAATTATATACTTCTGAACATGCATAATATGTTATATTCATTCAAGGAAAACACAGGCTTTGGTTGTATATGTGTGGCTTTTATGAAAGCTCCGATATTAATTAACATTAGAAAAATTGTGAAAATATGATTAAATTTATATATGAATTATGAATAATCAAGATTTGCAGTCTAGATTTACTTATCATCCTCATAATTTATAAAAACGATCAATAGAAATATTCATAGTTAAAACTTTTATATTTTGTGGAGTTGGTCGGGTGTTGTGGTCAATATATATTAAAACAGTATTTTATTGGATTTGCCAATGATTAGATCTGCGTTGTAAGTATTCATCAGGGCGAAAAAAGATACAAACTTTAAATATTAATTGGTAAAAGGTAAAAAATAAAAATAAATGAATTACCAGTAGATATTAAACTAGTACAAGTTTCCAGATAAAGAAAGTAAAGAACTTAAGATAACATAAATGATGAAGTGAGTTATACCACTGTGACAAAAAATAAAATACAAAAAAAATTAGTAAAATAATTGCTAGTTTTTTTTATTAACTCGAAGAAGGTTAAATATAAAATTAAGTAGTTAGTATTAGTTTTAATAATAAGTATTAGTTTATAATAAGTCTTACTTTTCGGAGTTTTCATTTTATTTCGGATTGGAATAACCAACAGCTGATTGGAAGGAAAAACAAAAGGCAGTTTAGAGAGAGATGGCGGAACCTCGCGAGTGTAGAGGCACGCTTTGTGTGTAAAATAATTTAGTTTTACGGTGTACACCAGATTTTTCTTCTCCTCTCCAAGAACCTGTGATTATCAGCGACGAGTGCCGCTTGATTTTACAAGTTGGTGAATGAACATTTTCACAGTTTAAAGAGGTGGACTGGGGAGACACTGACGACGCTAGCTGGAATACGTTCTCGCTTCCTCAGAAAATTCAATGTGCCAATTGGACAAAGTTCGGCATTGAGATTTTATAAATATGTATATATAAGTTTTTATTTCCTATCTATTTTTTTAAATGTTTGTAATTGGCTTATTGTGTAGACTAAGTTAATGTTTAGTTCTATAATAATTTTATATTCTTTTTTTGATAATTAAAGTTAATTGTATTTTCTTTGTTTTCATATAAACCTAATTTCTTGTTCATAATTTTAATTTCCTTTAACAGTAATTTAAATCAATAGAAATAAGTAAATTCATCATTATTATTAATAATAGCTAGTTTTATTTTCTTCAGTTTGTTTTCATGTTTTATGTATATACTATATTGTTTTTTTTTTTAGGTTTAATAAGGAATTGTAAAACCCTATTCGAGGGATTAGGGAAAGTCATTATTAACCAAGTAAGAAGGTTTGATAGGTTATGAGGTTAATTAACATACGTTTTTAAATCCACAGGTTCAGAGTTCGTAGCTCACTCCTTAAATTAAATTTATTTATCTTTTTTTATTTTTATGGTTTTTGCTATTTTCCAAATTCAACCAATTAAATAGCGTGGCGCTCGTTAGATAGTTATTAATATTTAATTGACTCTTGATTATTATTATTATTTTTTTTTTTTGCGAACTCTACTGTCTCCACTGAGCATAGGGCAAGTTTTTTGTGGAAAAAATTTTTCTAGATTAAATACCGTAACACCACATTATACTCACTATATCACTTATGTTATCTTATAAGTTCTTTATCTCATAAACTGTAGTAATTTAATATCTAATGATCATTCATTTATTTTTTTACCATATACCAATTAATATTTATAGTTTATATCTTTTTTTTAGCCCTGATGAAGAACTACAAAGCAGATCGAAACATTGACAAATCCAATAAAACACTATTATAATGTATAGTATTGTAGTGCACAAAACAAAAGAGTTAATTTATGTGGCAGTGAATGCGCATTAAGGCAGTGTAAAGAGAGAGAGAGAGAGTCAGATGTTTTTAGGAGATTGAAGGGAACAGTGATTGGAAAAGGTGAAGAGACCTACCTGCGTTGGAGGAAACGTTAGTTCTCTCTTCTCTCTCTTTCTCTATCTCTGTAACTGCTGGAAGAAGCGGACTTTTTGGTATTTTTGTACTTTATCCAGATTTATATTAGTTAGTAAATTTTATATCAGCTTTAGGTTAGTCCGTAAGTTCTTGTTGTTTAGTTGTAAATAGTTAAGTTTAGATTATTCCTTAGATTAAGTTTTATTAATTATTTATAGTCTATTGTTTATTTAGAAATTTCATTGGGCTTTTTATAGCCTGTTCGTCTAAATTGTATACATGAATAATAAATGTTTTGATTTTGATTCTTTATTAATAAAACATATGTTAGGTTGATAAAGTGGATAAGTGAGGTTTTCACATGGTTGTCATGGTTATGGACGTTAAGATGACCATTATTACAGTATTATATATTGACCTCTCTCCCCTCCTCCCAACCCACCAACTCCTCAAATTATAATCACGGTTAACCATCTCCACACCATTAAAATTAGTGTACATTCCTTTACTTATTTACTTAATACATAGATTAATAATGAGTAAATCTTAAATTTTATCATTTCACCTTTAGTCATGAATTCGGAAGCTATCCTCATTCTAAACAACCTCCAATCCAATAGACCCTTGTCGATCAGGTAGCCCATCCTTTCATAGAGCCTCAACTGATTGACAAACCCATTGTTCGGGCCGACCGTCGACCTCTTGGCTTTCACTCTGAAATTGAAAAACGATATTTAAATTTTATTACAAGCACCTGCTGTCAACCGTATAAAAATTACAGTATAAATATCTATTTTGTACATGATTAAATGCATCTGTTTATCAAATTAAAATTAGAATCAAGATATTGGTCAAAAGACTTGTTATATATCAGAATTGGGCAAAAATTACCAGCAACTAATGTCTACAAGCTATAACTAGTTTAGCTATAAGAAAAACAGATAAATAATTAAAAATCAGTTGTTAGCTGTTTGCCTTAAGATAATTCTTTTAGCTAAATTAGCTATAACTATTTGTAAACCTAACAACTACTTAGTTTTATCTGTAGTTACAACTAAACCAGTAGATAAATTCTTATAAAAAAAACACGTAAGCATCACAGTTCCATCCTTAAAGTCTTAAATAAATAATCTGAAGTTATCTATTATCTTTATATTCATTATTCGAATTTTTAAAATAAAAGTTCGAAAATTGAATTGTAAATTTCTTATAGCAAACCTTTCAGAGTAGCGCATTGAATATTTGTAGCTTTTCATATTTTTGTTTCGGTAGAAGAGTCCACTATTAGGTTATGTAGGGGCAATATTTACAACAATGCTGTTGGATTTAAGATTAAATTAAACATTAAATATTAGTAACTTTTCAATATTAGAGCCCGCTAATATTTGTCGGGGGCACTTATTATGAAAATACTGTCGGATTTTAGATTGCACATCAGGTTTTGATTCTTTTCTGATTTCTTCAATATAAGGGTCTATTAGTATGTTTTTAGGGACGCTTTTTATGAAAATATTGTAAATTAGTGCTAGTTGCCACAAAAACTAATTTAGTTATAGCTAAAAAAATAGCTGTTCATTACACTAACAGATATTTAGGGGCAGGGTGGCCGAATGGGCTAACGTGTGTGCACAGCACCGTGAGTTGCCCAGCAACCAGATAATCAAGTTTTGAGATTGAAAAAAAAAAAGTACGAGTTCACGTACCGGTGCCAGAGAGATTTTAAATTCCCTGCCCTCATTCTCCGGCCTGGGAAAATTAGCCTAAAAGGGGAGGTAGAGAAGAACAGAAAAATAAAATAAAAAGCTAACAGGTATTTTAAGAGTGAAAATTAGCTATGATCCAACAATTAATAGCTAAATATAACAATAAATCAGTTGCATATTTATCGCCGATAATTGGCTGTTTAGCTGAATCTTAGTTAAATAAAAATTAGTTAGCTCCATACTATGATAAAATTCCAAACTCCTACATCACTACAACCCATGGAGTCTTGGATTCAGTATTTTTAAGGAAGTACTGCTTTTTGGTCAGCGGTTGAGGGAGGAGGCGATTTGATCGAGATCACGCTTAACCCATTCTTTAACTTTTTTTATCATCATAAATTTAATTAAGAGTCTCTAATCTTGAGAAGTGTGCCTCGGGAGGGTCTGCTGACCACTGGCGGACTGAATCTGGGGCCCAGAGCATAAAGAGCTATCCCACCCCCTCTCCTGTTTAGTGAAGAACATAAGAAATTAATATGAATAAAAAGGACCAATCACTAAATAAAAACCAAACTCATGGAAAGTCATGGTGTTTACGAATATGGTATATTTTAAAATATTTAAAGAAAAGTCAAAGTGCATAGTGAAGAGATGTAAATATTAAAAATCACTGCAAATTATTTCACAATGATTTATTATTTCCAAACAACTATACGCCTAAAGTAACATTACTTTCCTAGTAATAAAGAAAAAGAAATAAAAGGTGATTCAAATTATTGGCCTAAACATTTTTTTTTTTCATCACTACTAATTTGCTAAAAAAAAAATAACATTACTTCAGTAACACATTCAAAAACCAAAACAAAGATTATAACCGTTCCAGTAGAACATATAAAAAACATCTAGAGACTATATCTTTGCTCCAAATTGTCCGATTTTAATAATTTTTTTTTTTTAAAGAAATTTCATAAATTTTTATGTACTTTGCAACAATATATGTTTTGTATATTTTGATAGAGTCTTTTATGACATGAAACTGACGAGCTATTTTTAAATAAACTCACCCACACTATGTTCTAATATAATGAATTTTAAGAAAATTAACATATAATAACCTAAACATTTTCAATATCGTTATTATCCTACGGAACATAAACATCCACTTACCTATCAAGAGCCTGAGGATAGGAAATACAATATTTTTTCATCAGAAAAGCGATAACAACCGAGCAGCTCCGAGAAACACCAAAGTAACTGAAAAATAATAAATCAAAACAATATTAATTATTTATCAAAAACAAAATATATGTGTTTACAGTAAGAAAGAAATAAGAAAAAGAATTTTTAGAAGTAGAACTTTTTTTTAAGGAGCTTTTTACATAAAAATTGGTAAAAAATTTTAGCTAAAAAAACATTAATTAAAAATTTCTGTGAATGTAATTCAGTTCACCAAAAAGTAAACCTGAAAATTTTAAGCTCCTTAAAGGAAATGCATTCAAGAGAAATCAAATCAATGACCTCAGCCCATTCACTGATTATTCCTCATTCAACATAACATTTTTTTAATAACGTAAGCTTTATAATAACTTATTACAAAAAAGTTAGTTACTAATTGTATTTCAAAATTTTTGTTCAAAAGAAGTCCCTTTGAAACTCTTAAAATAGAACTTTTAAAAAAAGCTTCGAGCCCTGGTTTCAGCTGTTTTGACATTATCAGACTAAGTTATTAAGATTTAAACCTGAGTAACTGATAAAACAGAAAGTTGTTGATTAAGCTCTCGTTTCAATACCATGCTTTCCTTTAACAGTTTATCTAAAAAACTTTTAAAATTTAAAGTGATAAATTCATTAATAATATCAGAAGTTTAGAACAACAAAATTTATTTTATGGTTTAATAAAAATTATTGGCATTTTCATAAGCCAGGATTACACTGTTATTGATCCAGATTAAGTATTACATAATACTCTTTGGAACTTACCAGTGAACTAAAACAACGCCAGACCTTTGACCTTCAGATATAAACTTAAATGTATTGTCAAAATTACTCAAAATATCTTCATGTGGCATATCGGTCACTAAAACAAAATTTTAAATATATCTTCAATATAATATTCAAAATAAATTGTCAAATAAAAGAAACAAAAATAATTACAATAAAATTAAGAAACTTACACTGAATGTACATTGAAATCATTCCGGGTAAAGAAATTATGTTTCGTGGAAGGGGGCAGGAATCTACAGTTAATATATGGTTGCATTTTATAGATTCTAAAAACTCCTTGTCCACAGCAGCGCTCAAATTACCTTAAGCAATGATAACATTGATGTAATATACATGATCGAAAATAAAAAATAAATCAAAATTGCGTTGCCTCATTAATTATTCACTGATGGCAAAACATCATTGAGACGTATTCATAATGCATTTTAAAACAAAAATTTAAATATCAAACAAATTCGTTGAAAAATAGAAATAAACAAATTTAATTTTCAATATAAGACTTTGATATAACACTTTGACCACTTACCAAGCCAAAGCCCATCTTCAATACAATCCGCACTTGTTGGTCCTGGGGTAAAATCAAATCTGTCTAATTCTTGTAAACCTGCCATTTCAAAATTATTTAAACAGATAGATCAATATGTAAAATTTAAAAAAGCTCTGAATCCAAGACTATTATGTTAAATAAAATGAGGGAGAAACGAACACGTACAAGTCACCTGAAAATCAAGAATTATCAACTAAAACTCAAAATAATAGACTACATGAACATTATAAAGTAAATAAAGAAAGTACCTCATAATATTAAATGAATGCTAGGAGCTTATGCAATCTGTTGATCGGTACGAGAAAGCAATTATTTTATTTTCTACCTCAGAACATAAAACAGAAAACGTTTAAAAGAGAAGAGAAGAGAAGAGACAGTTTTGTATTGATTACTTTGCTTTTCCCTCCATTGTCATGTAACATCTTCAAAAGCTGCCAAATAAATCGACTCTACACTTATTAAATCGATTGACGGCAATACAATTAAAGATGAATCGAAAATAAAAATTATTTTAAATGAGTTCATAATTTTAATATATTTAGAATCCTACATTAAAGAATATGCGCGATGGAATTGAAAATTGTCTAATGTTAAGTTGAAATACATAGATTTTCTTTGCACACAGTAATGATTTTCTGGTGTTTGGGGGGGGGGATGTGGAGAAGTGTATGGGTAAAATAAAATTAGAATAACTACCTTGCAAGGAAAATGAACTAACTATCTATATGAAATGGTGTTCAAGTGATTCTTGAAGTCCTATTAAATGTAATTGCGCGTACAACTAACTTTTAAATATTTTTTTCATGAGACATAGTTATATTCTACTATTTGGCATCACACCGAAAGCCCCCCCGCGTACATGTTTTTGATCAAACTCTATTATTTAGTTTATGGTTATTGCAATTTATAAAAACATAATATATACATAGAACAATAATTAAAAAAAAATGATATTTTTCTTGCATTTTCGGCAAACTTTTTGTATTGTGTTTTATTTTTATACATGTTTTATTTTCTTTAAATTTTTTTAGAGGAGGGGAGGGGACGGCCTTTGTTGGCAAGTAGAATTTGATACTTCACTGGTGTCATGTGAAAATAATATCCATATTATACAACCAGTAAATAGGAGTAGTAGTTAATAAAATTCAAACAATGAAAATCTCTTTGTGCCATATTCTATATAATTAATTCTTCTAGTCCGCTTTTCTCATCTCTTTAAGTAAGGTTAATAGGCAGGGAAAATATTACAGGTCACCGTATACTTAGTTTTAATCTTCTACGAAACAAAAGCTGGATTTCAAAAAACAAATAAATTAATATACACGATATCAATCTTACGCTTCTGTTTTCCACGGTTGCCTATTCGTTGACTAAACATTGTTTTTAAAATAAACATCACTTATTTTCGTTTGGGAGGCGTTAATCGGACACTATGAAATAGATTGACTAAACATTTTAAAACTTTTATGGCCAGCTGGCTGTCTTAACGAATCGATACAAAATACATATTTGAAATATAAAACTTTTATTATGATGTTTACAACTGTATTAATATGAATACATCAAGTAAATGTGTACAGAGGAATATTATCACATGAAACACGCTTGTTGAGAAACTACCCATTGGTAGCACTCTAATATTTGAAATATAAAATACTAGTTGATCGTACAAATAATTAGCTTTCTGGCTGAAGCCCTCCCAAAATGGTAAAATATAACTATGTCTTATGAAAAAAATATATAATAATTACCTCTAAAAGTATTAATGTTCGTCACGGGCGGATCTACGGGGAGGGGGGAAGGCTTTCGGGCTGAAGCCCCCCCCCAAAATGGAAAAATATAACCATGTTTTATGGGAAAAAAAATTTAAAAAATACCTCTTAAAGTATTATTGTTCGTGTAATTACATTTAAAAGTACTTAAGGAATAACTTAAACACCATTTCATATAGATAGTTAGTTTCTTTCTGTTTTTCCAAAGTAATTATCGTTATTTTTATGAAAAAAAAAGGTTTCGGACTGAAGCCCCCCCTCCAAAATTAAATCCTGGATCCGCTAGTGATGTTCGTGTAATAACATTTAATAGTACTTAAAGAATCACTTAAAACTCTATTTCATATAGGTAGTTAGTTCTTTTCTTTTTCTTCGTAAGTAATTATCGTTATATATTTTTTAAAAAATCTTTCGGGCTGAAGCCCACCCCTCCCAAAACTAAATCCTGGATCCCATGAATAAAAGTACATTTGATTTCTGAAGAATCCAAAATCCAAAGCCGCTAAGTGTTATAAACTATTTAAAAGTGTATTTTGAGTACACTAAAATATTATCAAATATAATAAAATTAATAACTAACATTGTATTGTTATGTGTGCATTTTCAAATTTTGCGTAAGAATTTTTGGAGACCTCCAAAACTTTGGTCTAAAGGAGCGTTTAGGCATTTCACAAACTATGCGATAAATAAATATACAAAATAATGGTTATTTCACTATGCTACTATTTTTGTTTCTTGTTTTTTATATTTTCCATCTGACGTCGGTATTAAGAGAAATAAAATAAATAGTTTGGTTAAGCAATAATCTCGCTTTTTGTTAAGTTAGATAATCTTGTTCCTCATAGTTTGTGAAATGTCTAAACACATCTTTATCAATAAAATAATTAAATTTTTCTTTGCGAACCAATAAAAGAAACTCATTAAATTAGTCACAATTCATTGTATTATTGATATAACATACTATGTTTTCGTAAATTCACTTTTATTCCAATTCAAATAATAATTTAAACAAGACCGCGAAATAGGATACGATTGAAACGAGATATAAATGAATTACAATGATTTATGGAAAAAAAATCATGTTTAATTTTTTTTAAAAAATATTTATGTATTTAAAAATGAATGTTTAAATTTATAATTAAACATATTTTAAATCCAACATACTTGAAAACTTTTAACCATACAACATTCAAATTGATAATTCATTTAAATAAGACAGCAATCATGTGTTAAAAAAAAAAATGAATTGAAATACATTATTCAAAATTTTAACAATTTTTTATTTTATATAGCAATTAGTATTAATTTCAGATCGTTTTATATTTGAGAATACATTTTAGTTTTTTAACTGTGATTTTACTCTGATTAATTATAATTATATAATTTTTAATTTTTAAAAGGTAATTATCGCTATTTAACGAACTAAATTGAATAAAATTATCAGTGATATTTCAATTTTTATGAAATTTTCCCAGACAGTTGGCAATAAAGTTCTTTTCCCTCTCGAGCTGGCGAATTCAATTACGAAGCGACGCGCTATAATGAAATTACTTTTCTCAGACAATTTGATTTCCGTTCTCAAACACCGTTTCAGTTAGTAGTTGTGAGTCCTTTCTTGTGTGAAGTGTTAAAGAATTCGGAGTGATTTGTAGTTTTAATCGGTTGTGAATTTTAACGAAATTTATCTTTATGGTGATCGGTTGTGAATTCAAGATGGTGTTAACATGTCCTCAAATCCTTCCCCCTTTTCCATTAATTATCAAATTGACCTTTAACACTTTGAATCATTATTACTTCAAATATGAAATCTATTTTATGTATTATTGTTAATATTTCCATGTATTAAACTATGTAAATCTTTTCCAGGAAGTTACTTGCACAAGAAAACTTTAAAATTTAATACTAAAACCAACTTAATACTGAAAAAAATGTTGAAATACAACACAGAAGTAAAATACAGGGGCTATAAATGAATTTAATATGAAAGGGGCATTAATATATATGCATATTTCTAAATCTTTTCTCAAAAATAAATTCACTTTAGGTTCCAATTTTATATTTAATTAGAGTAATATAATTTAAAAAAAATGAAAATACTAGCAGTTACTGCGGCTCACATTGTAAATCTTTTTCTGGATTGCCATAAAGAGACAATTACCATTAATTCAACAATTACTATAAATGAAATTTAAAAATAATTATTAATTAATTTCCTTCTGTGAGCAACGTAAACTTCTTTGATTAAATACTTAAGACTTATGTATACTTTGGCTATCTAGAACATTGTAATAAAAATAAAACATTTGTTTCATCTTCTAAGGTCTAGCTGTATCGCAAATTTATTCAGTGAATATAACTTTTAATAATACTATGTTAAATCAGTATTTTTGTCACTTAATAGTATAAAAATTCATTTTTTTAAATACTTCTTTAAAACACAGAAACTTTTCATTGCATTATATAATTGTCCAATTGAATATTATATCACATGTATTTTTTTAACCTTAAATATAAGGGCAGTGCCGGCCTTAGACATTCGACGCCCCCGGGAAATGATGTAATTTCCCTCCTTCATAAAAAAATTTTATTTCTTAAGCTGTTTTATATTTGAATTTTATTGCATTAAACAAGTTTTATAATACAGTTGCTTTAATGGTGGGCTAAAATTGATTATTTTAATATGTTTTGTAACTTGTTTTATTTCTTACAAGTGGCGAGCACCCCTGAGATCAAGTGTTGCCCCCTCATGAGTACTCCTTCTGGTCCGCGCCCCTGGACAATTGCCCTGGTTGTGCTGCCCTAAAGCTGTGTACAGGTTAATATTCAACTATATTTTATATTTTGTCATAGTCTAACAAAAAGTTTATTTTAATTTATGAAAGAAAAAATAATGAAACTAAAATTAATATATTGCTGGAATATTCTTACACAAAAAGATATATCGATATCTACTCATATGTTTGTTTCGGCCCTGAAGAAGAAACCAAAATGTTGGTTAAAACTTTGTCATTTAATAATTATATAGTTATTATTATTTAACATTATTTTTTAAAAATACTTATGCCATATTCTTCTTGATTCATTATATATTTAACCAAAAACATATAATGAAAAATAAATATAAGATATTATTGGAACATTCCAAAATAAAAGAGTTATTTAGGACAGGTTCCTAAACTCAGCTCTATGATCATTGGTGAGCATCGGAAATCCATCAATGCATTAGTGCTGAGTTTAGGAACTTACTCATGTTAGATTTTGTTGAGAATAAAATAATTTTTTGAAGGGAATTTAAAGTTTTACAAAAAAAACAACATAAAAATACAGATCAATGTTATATTGACATCATGAATAAAGCTAACATTTAGTTATTACTATGGAATAGATAGATATGGATGGTAGATAATCAGGAAACAGTCGGTTTTTAAGCTTTTTATTGTCGTTTCAACTTAAGCTTGTGGTTGATCATCCAGACATATTATCAGTACTAAAACGGTTTAAGTATACAGTACTTGAGCATATTTGGTATTGGTAATATGGCATGATGATGACCCATAAACTTGAGTTGAAACTTTAGCAATAAAAATCTTAAAAACGGACTGCTTCCTGATTATCTACCATCCATATCTATGTAAGACAGTCGACTAACTTCCTTCAATAAATATGAAAATAAATGTAATTTATGATAATCTTAAGACCATCAAACATAAAGAAACAATCCAATTTTAAGTTAACAAAAAAGCTCACTATTAACTTAAGGTAAAAATTAATTTGATTAAATAGAAACATATTAACTAAAAAGTATAAATATTACATTTTAACTAAGGGCAATTTAGTTTAAATGCTGTTTAAAATAAATAAATATTAAATAAAATAAGGTTAAGTGGTTAGTTATTTACAAATGTTTAACTGGTAATACTTTGTGTTGAAATCTTCAAATAATATCTTAATTTTAGTTTCATTATTTTGTTTTCCTTTATAAATTAAAATTAACATTTTGTTGAACAACATCAAAATACAAAATATAGTTGAATATTTTAAGTGAAAATATATGTAATAATACCATATTCAATAATAAATCAATAGCGTAACAATATAATGAAATGTGAATCTTGTGTCCTTTGTAGAAGTACTTAAAAACTTGACTCTTTTGACTATTAAGAAACACAAATACTGATTAAAAATAATGTTTTCTAAAAGTTATACTAACTAAATGTAATAGTGCTATGGTGAGAATTGAAGACAGAACAGATGTTCGATTTTACTACAAAATTTTAAACAGCCAATTATATTATACATAAATCATGAGAGTTTAAACAGGAAAGTTCATTTTTTCTCTTTTTTAAAGTTATTGCCTACTTTAGTAATAGTTGTTGAATTTTTAAATTATTTTAATAGAACATAATCTCTTTGTGTTTATTTTTATTATATAATACTTCTGAACATCACTATTTATTTTTTGTTACCATAAGAGCTAAATTTGAATGTATCATTCTGTTACTTTGTTGCTGTTACTAATAACCGAGGTCTGTATTTTTATGCAATTGCATATTTTGTTTGTGTGATTTTTTTTAACTTAAAACTCTTTAAGAATTAGTACACTATGATGCAATTAGCCAAATTTTATTTTGCATATTTGAGGATAAATGCATATTTGAGAATAAATGCATATTTTGATTAATTTAAT